CCAATTCAGTGAACGTTCATATGGGGGCAACTGCAGAACTGTGCGGGTCAAGTCTTGAAGATGTAGCAAGTATTAGGATCCAGGTTCATGATGAATCTGACTTGAGTACATCATGCAGAACAAGAGATGCCCAAAACTTCAAACAAATAACTTCAGTAAAAAGGCAGTGCTATGATGAAGAAAACAGTACAGATCTTCTAGATCGTACTGAAACAAATACAGATAGCATCGGTTTTCTAGACCATGCTGATACCGGAGAAGAATGGAGTCTTATTGATTGCGTGCTCACGGCAGATGTCACAAGTTTAGGCGGAAGTGATTCTCATTTCGATATAGTAACGTCAGGCATCGGAGAGGGAAGGCAAAATTTCATTAGTCTTTGTCCAGTAATGTCTATGGATGAAGATAGTTCAAGTCTTCCTTCTTGCTGGGGATTCACTTTCGAGGATCTACAGAAAGAGCAATCCAAAGATAAAGATTTGCATTTCATAATTGAGTGGTTGAAAGACAAGAAAGTACCAGATGAAGGAATTCTATTCCTCTCTAGTCCAGAATCCAAATTTTATTGGCTTAATAAAGAGCTATTCCATTTGGTTGATGGTGTTCTTTTTAAAAACAATTCAGATGCTGAAGATCTACAGTTAGTTATACCTGATAGTTTAAAGGAACAGGCACTACTTTGGCATCATGACATTCCTTCAGCAGGACATCAGGGAGTAGCTAGAACGAAAGCTAAACTAAAGGAGAAATTCTTTTGGGTTCGTCTTTCAAGAGATGTTGAATCTTATGTGTCATCTTGTGCTGTTTGCAATCAAAATAAGAAGAAAAAGCGATATGGTAAGGTACCACTTACTGAATATCAAGCAGGGGCACCTATGGAACGTGTGCATATAGATTTTCTCGGACCTTTGCCTAAAACGTCGAGGGGTAACCTATATTGCATGATGATGGTTGACCAGTTTACAAAGTGGGTAGAATGTGTTCCATTACCATCCCAGAAAGCGGAAGTGACTGCAAAAGCTACCATTGATGACTTCTTTAGTCGCTTTGGTTTCCCATTCCAGATATTTACAGATCAGGGAAGAAACTTTGAAAGTCAGTTATTTGAAGCTGTTTGCAAGGCTCTACATATACATAAAGCAAGAACAACGCCATATCGGCCATCCAGTAATGGTCAAGTAGAGAGATTTAATAGAACGTTGCTTGATGCTGTTAGATGTTTTATTGGCAAGTCTCAAGATAGTTGGGATCAAAACATTCAGCAGATAGCTATGGCGATTAGAGCTTCTGTAAACCGCAGTACTGGATTCACACCAAACATGTTAATGTTGGGAAGAGAAGTTAATACACCAGCACAACTGATGTTTCCCAATGCAAAAGCTGAATCCCCAGAAGAGTATGGTGAATATATATCAAATCTTTTGCAAACCATACAAAAAGCACACATAACAGCGAGAAATACTCTTAAGACATCTATGAAGCGTATGAAGCGTGATTATGACCTAAGAGTATTATACAGACCATATTCAGAGGGAGATGTTGTCTATCTTCTAGATACAGCATCTACTAAAGGTAAATCTCGCAAGTTATGTCCTCCATGGAAAGGTCCAGCCATAATAACAAAGAAGTTGTCAGCAATACTGTATCGGGTGAAATTGCGTAATGCTATATTCGTCACCAACCATGATCGGATGATGCCATGTAGAGATCGAACATTGCCATCATGGATTAAAAAATACAAGGATACGCCTGAATCCGACGCTGACGAGCCAAATACTGAAGATAACGAAGTATACTGCATCTGCAGGAAGCCATGGAACGGAAGATTCATGATACAATGTGAATATTGTGATGAGTGGTTTCATGGATCATGCGTCAACATCACCTCTACAGATGCCCTTGACATTGACCGATATAAATGCCGATCATGTAAGGACAATAACGTTAGACTGAGATGAGGGTGAGCGTTGTAACTTTGTTATTCTTTTTGTATTTTTCAGTTATGGCACAGAAAATGAATACAGAGGATTTTGAGGTTATCGTCCTGAAATACCTGGAGCAAGGACGCATATACACACCAGCCAGGGAATTTATTAATAAGATTAGTTTGAGATTCCCTGGCGTTCAAGATACAGAAAAACGTCAGAAACTGATATTGGATATGGTTAATCTGGTGAAGACCAGATTAGCAACGCATAGAAACAAGAAAACCTGGAGAGCTTGGTTACAGGAAGCAGCAATCCAGTTGGACTCAGCTCAAATAGCCCACAGGGATTGGATCTCCAGCAATATCTCGATTCTCAAGGATAAGCCAGTAAGGAAGCCAGATCCTCCAAGTCCAAGGGAGGATGATATTTCGGATGATATCTTGGCATTGTCGGCTGGAGAGGAAGAAGTGGCGGCTCTTCTAGAGTCCCCTTCTAGTTCACCGAAGGTACCGATGGAAGTGTCGATTCTTCTAGAGTCCCCTTCTAAGGTGTCCGTGGAAGTTGATCCAGATATTGTTGTGAGCAGTCCTACAAGATCACCAAGGAAGGCCATAAAAAAGAGTCTTATTCAGGAACCTTCTAGGAATACAGGAACTCCAAAACCCGTGGTTAGAGCTGAATCCTCAGGGAGACGGGAGAAACGGGCTTCTAGTCCGTCTTCCAGGCATGCTTCACATCAAGAGCGTAAGAAGGCGAAACTTCCTGTGGCTTCTAGTTCAGAAGTTCATTCGCAACCCGCACAACCTACCAGATTGTCTGTTACTTTCGGACGAACGGGTGGAGATCGTAGTGTCGCTATGGGGAGGGGTATGACCATAGATTACCCCAAACCACTTCATCCTGAAAGGCGTGCGGCTCCTCCACCTGCTTCAAGCTGGAAGAAGCAGAGGACAGAAGATACATTGCTCAAAGTCAGGAAAGCGATGGAAGAGAAAAGATCTACAGGGAAAAGGCGGTCTAACAAAAGGATGAACGTTAAATGCTGGGTGCCAAACTGTTTGGAACCGGCCCAGTATATGAAGGTTCATGCCTTCAAGCATCATGTCCCTGGGATTTTCGATGAAAGGCTACAACCTGACAATGAGTGGGTATTGCGGGGAAGAAGGAACGCTCTGATCCAAGCAGCCAGGTGGCTTTTGGTAAAACCAGCAGCATCCCTTGATGAGTTGATGTCATTTGTTAGGATTCAGAAACTGTTACTATCAACAGGGGATACAGTGGTGTCATCAACTCAGACGGAAGCTATGCAGGCTTTCTGTGGGTTTCTTAAATCCGAAGTTCCGAAGGAATTTATTTTGGAGCCCATCAACTCACCAGGTGCTCTAATCCATTGGAAGGTACTTCAGTTAATCGCAGCAAGTTTAGATGCTGAAGAAAGGGAGTACTGGAAGTCTAGCTTTCCTATTCAAGAGGGCATGGTGATTGATGAGCCTGAAGAGGAACCCGCTGAAATATTACCAGAAGCCTATGACAGTCATTTCCACCTGGACAGGACTTTGCGAGAACTGAGTCTTCCTTCATCAGGTACATTAGAAGATATTCTAGCAAAGGTTCCTGTTGATCATGACAAAAGGATCAAGTTGGTAGGAGAAGTTGCCGTCTTCTGTGATCCAAGGACGTATCCTTCTAAGCGGAGCCTTCTAGGCCTGCCAGGGGATATGAAAGTTGCTGTCGGTTTCCATCCAAGACATGCTAAGCAAGGACATCGGGAAAGACAAGAGGGCCTTGAACGTCTGTTCAACCTCCTACAGCTCCCAAAAGTGACAGTTCTTGGTGAAATTGGACTGGATCATACAGAGCCAATGAAGTATTGGCACTATCAGGTGGAATTGATTGAAGCGATACTGCCCAAGTTGGAAGAACGACATGTACTGGTTATTCATTGTCGTGGAATAGAGGGTGACTGTGGTACAGAAGCATATTTACTTCTTCTACATGTTCTAAAGAAGTACGTTAGATCACGTCACCCTATACATCTACATTGTTTCACAGGTGACCAGTCTGTGCTTAAGAAATGGTTGGAGACATTTCCAAGGACGTACTTTGGCTTCACTAGTTTGGTGGATTCCTTTAATCGTGACCAGATAGCAGCGCTCCGAGAAATTGAAGAGTCTCGTCTGCTTCTCGAGTCCGATGCACCATATTTTCCCGGTAGGGGATCCAGAGTATCGTCGCCTGGACAACTGTATAGAGCAGCGAATGCAGTGGCTCACCGTCTTCAAACATCGCCTGAAAGGATTCTGGAGATCACAGTCGCAAACGCCCTGTGTCTCTATGAAGGGCAGTATCAGTAAAAACCAGCAGGAAACTGGTGGAACTTCTAGTTCACCAGTCTAAAGTTGATAATTCATCCAAGTAAGGTGCTGGTTGGATTCCAAGTTTTTCAGTAAAAGCGTCATTATTATATTCAGTTGAAACTTCTAGTTCATCTGAGAAATGATCCAGATTGCTCCAGGTATACCACAACAGAAATAACCTCAATACAGATCAAGACTCCAGTGTTCTTTGATCCGAGTATCAAGGAGATCTTCTCCGATACATCCAGGCTGGTGGTTGTGAAAAATGAAGTTCCAGGTGGCTTCTAGCCTTTGAGAATCTTTACAGCAACGCCAGTGTACCAAAAGGACTTCTAGTCCTTCCTCTACAGCCTACTTATTTAGGGTAAGTTAAAGCCGCGATGTGATATTAATTCACAATTAAGGAAGTAAACGAGCTTCTAGTTCTTTACTGATGCATTCACAGCATTACTCCCAAGACCGAAGCCTTCATTCATAAAGTTGGGGGGAGTGTTGTGAATGCAGGAAATGATTTAGTGGTCCTAGACCTACCGGACTGCATGCGCATGCGCGACGGTTTTCGCGGGACTGGAAAGTACCCGGATAGTTCTAGGATTGAGTGAATTGAGTTCTGCGTTGGCTGGCGAAGTGGCAACATCAAGAACAAGCTTTGGTAAGCTCCCGGCCTGTTTTCCCTTCTTTAGGCTATGATTTAAGGAAATACAACACTTGCAAGCGCCTGCAAGCTCTGATGATTTTAAATTTTAATTTGAGTTTTAATGCGATTTTAAATAATATTTTAGCAATTTTATAGAAGCAAACTATAATATCATGAATACATTTTTATTTTAGCTAAAAATGGACACCGATTTTAGTTTTTATGGTAAGAAAATAAACTACATTACAATATTAGTGTATGTACTATTATCCGGATGTACACACATTTCGGATAGTAGTTAATTACCTTTGTAAATTGGAACAAAGAGAAACAAATAAGTATCTTTTGCAGTTATGTTTCATTGGTCTTGCTATAGAACTGTTATCTTATATCTATGGCAGGTCAAACGGGTTTGCCTAATTTAGTATGAATGTGACTTTTTTTGACGAAAGTGAGTGAAAGCAGAGACATAGATAACAGATTTGTAATAGAGATAACAGAGAAATAAATGTAACATCATTTTTTAAAGAGAACTACTTAATAATTTTTGCTACAAAACTATTCATATGACAAAAAACTGGCTCAGTGGGTATGTTCTGCCATGTTTTTCTAAGTGAAAGGCATGGAAAGTTACCAATATTTTAACATGCAGCAATAAATAAAAGATTTACCTTTGAAATGGTATACAATATATTAAAGGATCAAATGTACATCCATTAAGTTTTATTTGCTACAAAATGCCTAATTTTTCACTTTTTGATAGACATGAGTGCTATTTCAATGGAGTATATAGGAGCTGCTTATCTCTGTAATCTATGTCTCTGGTGAAAGTCACTAAAAATATGAATTTTAGTGTTTTAATAACCTTTACAGTAAAATTACAGTTTGTAGACAAATGTTATCAGAAGTTGATAATATTTATTTCCAAAAATAACCATTACGATGATTTAATCGTCATCGGTGCCGAAAGCCAAAAGCATCTTGGGAACTCCCTATACATGTGTATAACTGACAGGCCAAAACCGGTCTAAGACTTTCATATACAATTATAATAAAAACAAACTGTCACAAAATTACAGAGAGTTTAAAAACAAAAAGCAGGATCTACATCTTGAAAATAATTTTAATAATTGGCTGAGTTAACTCATGCAGAGCTGACCGGCATGTCAGATTGTTTGATGTTTTTTACTTTGATTCCTTTGCCTCACGTCTATAAAGATTGGAATATAACCTGGGACTTTTTTCTTTCATTTGTAGAAGCTCTAGCTCTAGTTAGTGATCTTTTTACAGAATGTAGGTGCCCAGTATATTCTTTATCTGAAATATTTCTTTTGATTGTAAAGGTGAAAACATAACATTTTCTAATAAGCTTTAAGTATTATTGAGTTTGTAAATGTCAGTTCCTTTTTTTTTCAGAGAAGATAGCTGATGGCTGGGAAAGGACAGAGACTAAAAATAGTGTGCCTTATTATGTCAAGTAAGATTCTGATTGCTTTAAAAATTAGTTTGAAATAAAATATAAAAAGTAGACAATACATCAACTGAACTAGTTACTACAAGAACAAAGTTACTAAGTTCAAGTTCAATGTAGATTGAATGGACTTTTACAGATTTAAAGATAAGAGATTGTAGTAATTTAATGATGACATAATGTTTTCAAAATGGCAATCACATGGTGTAAAATGTGCTTTTAATTGAAAATATTGTTGTTTCCTTATGTAATATAGCAGAAAATAATAAAGAGTTAATTATTTGTTCATTCCTCATTTACCCTTATTCTTTAAAAACTTAACTATCTCATGCTATGATGGGGATAGTATATACAAAGGATGATCCAGAAATGTCCAAATAAACGTTGCAACTACATACAGTTGAAACTTGATAAAACAAGAATCAAATGACTGGAAATTTTATCATGATGTTTTTCAGGTTTTACATCAAGTTCTAGCAAATTGTGGACAAGATCCTTTTGACCTTTTTTGTACCCTGCACTTTGTTGTATTATAAGATTTAAAATGCTATGTTATACTCTTCGAGCCGCACTGCTGTAGCCTTTTGATGGTTGTATAGATCTGTCTGCGATGGTACAGGATGACAGTTTATCAATAATATTTTGCAATTAAATAGATGAAACATGAATCTTTATGCAGGAATAAATTAAATGAAGACAACATGATATTTATCCAAATTATTAAAAAGATTTGGGTAATTCTGGATCATCCCCATCTTAGTTACTATTTGTTTGAGATTTCATCAAAATTCAGATATAATGCTAGGGCATTTAAGTGAATTATGCTATTTTATATTTACAGCCACATTACAGAATGTACATCATGGGATCATCCATACTGGCTCAAGATTCTAGAAGGACTGAGTAAGATTATTTCATGATACATGTAGTAGTATTATTATGTGTTACTCAACACCAACATCTTGAGTGATTTCTTCTACAAAGTTTATGTTATGTCAATACAAATTGTAATGATAAGTACCCTGTTGGAAATGCATGTTATATACAGTGTACATTTAATGTAATGCATAGAACCTTAAACTGTCTAATTCTAGTTTTCAGATTACAATAAGAATTTCACCACATATATTTGTTCACAAAAGAACACATGTCAATTTTTGTGGTTAAATCTATTGCTATTCAAATAGAAGGTCAAAATAGGGATCCATCAATTGTGTATATTTGTAAACTTGTTTGGACTTTTTTTCTACGAAAATAATGTCATATGATTTAAGTTTTATTTTTGAACCAATTATTTAACTTGGGGGCCTTCATGGCTGAGTGGTTAAGGTGTCTGCCTTTGAATCACTTGCCCTCCTTTGCTGTGTGCTTGAACCCTGCCTAGATGTATGGAAGGTTTTGTGAAGAAGCTTACAGAAGGTCAGTGGTTCTACTTGAATGCCCACTTGTGATTGAAATAATGCATGGATGGAAATTTAAGGCCTAGTAATGGTTTAAACATATTTATTTAAGCTTGATTGGGAAACAAATTCTTGCTGGTGTCATATGAAGAAACAAGGTCATGACCTAAATAGGGCTTGAACTCGTGATCTTTGGGTTGTGAGGCAGACACCTTAACCACTAGGCCACCGCTTGCTTTAAGTGGCCTACTAATAAAGCTGGAAAATCAACATGAGATCAGTAGTACATTGTTAAGGTGACTTGTTAAGGTGACTTAAAATATTAAATAACCAAAAGGATGGTTTATTTACTAGAAATTTGAGGATCATTTCAACATCAGTATATGTCTTTTTCTTAATTGCCTCTTTTTATGTGTTGATCTTAATTGATGGTTTTGTCTTTTATTTCTAGAGGACTATAGCAGTGTGAAATATGCAGCTTACAGAACAGCCTTGAAGATAAGACACATTCAAGTACAGCTACAATGTAAGTCAGTTCTGGGGTTTAAACTCAAACATAACCTAAAAATGAAACATTTTTATGTACACTAAGCACTACCTCTTGTGTAGTCTTTAAATTGATACTGTGTGCAGTCTATTTTGACCATCAAAGCTAAATCCACGTTCTTTGAAAGATAATACTTTGACATTCAATTTGTTTAATGATCATTTGTCTCTCACCACTGAATAAAAAATCACGTCAGAATAGTAATGAAGTTAATTAACAAGAGCCTTAAGCCACTGAAAGCTTAACATTAGCTTCCATGGATGAGTGGTTAAGATTGTTGACTTCAAACAACTTTTCCTTCTTTGCTGTGGGTTCAAATCCCATCAGGAACTTAAGTTTCTCTCATTTGAGGAAACTATCCGTCTAAGGAAGGTCAGTGGTTCTACTCTGGTGCCATTTGTGCCTCAAAAAAATGTACAAAGTGGATACCGGAGGTTTTCCTTTACCAGTAAAGCTGGAAAGTTGTCATATCACCTGAGCAATGTGCAACTTAAAACCAAACCAACCAGCTTAAAATTTTGGTTTTTGCTTTTAAGATTTTATGAAATTTCCATATTTGTTGTATAGTAACATATTTGAATAATTGAATTTACTAAAATTTATTTCATTGATATAATTTGTCAGTTTGAAATTATATATATATCAACTTTTGTGACAAATTTAAATGTATTCAATTTACAGTGCACAAAGTAGACTTGTATACCATTCAACAAGAATTGGAAGATCAAGGTCACATGTCAGGGTCAAATGGAGTGATACAATGTGATGACCTTTTGACCTTACTGACAAACATATATCATAGTTCACAAGGTAGACATGAGAAAGTAGAGGTGGCAGGAATGTTGGCAGATCTAGCTCTGAACTTGCTGTTGAATGTACTGGATAAGTAAGTTTCTTTAGCAAAAACTCTGTGAAATAATTCTTCATCATTTCAAGTGGTCATCTGATAAGTGACTGACATAAATAATTAAACATTGGTTTATAATAGTGTAAATATTGTACCCAATCCAATTAAACCCCCAACATCCGATCAGACTATCGGATGCAAATTAACCCTCTCTCTACATTGTTTTATCAGTGATAGACGTCCAGCAAAGGCTGACTAAGTGTACTGATTCTAAAAATAGCTAAAGCAGACGATGGGTTTTTACACACAAAAAATACCTTTTAACTGACTTGTCTCAGAGAGACATCAAAAGCTAACCTAATTTCTGACCACCAGTTGCAGATTTCCTGTTAGTTTATCCCTTGATGCCAAACAGTCACATATATCTATTCTTGTCATATTTTTGTTTTGAACCTTATTACAACATAGTATGATTTCTGATATAATTTTATACCTCAGGTATATTTTAATAAGAAAGTGTATTGCAATGCTGCTATCAGTAGAGATAAAACAAAATATCACATTTCTGTGTTTAATTGGCATATAACACTACAATATAGAAGGGGTGACAGGGCTTGTAAGGTCTTGTTTTTGATTTATTATTTAATAAGTACAGAGTTTCTGAGACAAGCAATGTGATAAGTTGTTTTCTTATTTCAAAGTTGATACAGTTCAGTTACTAACATAATGATATTTAACAATAAATGGGACTACACATTTATACCTTCCATACCTTACATATTTTGCATCTTCTACATTTAGATGACCTTTGTCTGAAATCAGTTTAGGAGGGATTTTTTTGTACAAGGAAAATAGTGTTTTTGTTTGGTGCTTTCATTGATTTGTGTTATTAAATATAAATGGATAAGTTGTTTTGTCGTTGTTACTTAAAGGAATAGAAACATACCTGTGAACCTCTGTTTAACCACACTAATTGGAATTGGTAAAAGTGTGTCACCAATATTAGAGGAAAAAATGAGGTCATAGATCACATGTCAAATAAAACTGGAAATATAAATGGTGCCATCAAAGAGATAGCTGACTATATAGTATATTACAAGACAAAGTGCGGATGAAACTAATGTATTTGATTCTGGTGTTAATGATTCATGTGAATACATGTAATGTTTTTGTTCCTTGTGTGTAAATGTGAAAGAATAGTCCTGAAGAGGCAAAAAACCTACATATAAAATTTCAATAAAAATCAGATACAAAAAGTTTTGTTCAATTATGTAAAGAGGCAACGCTTAGACTAAGAAACAATGTATTTCTTCATTGAAGAAATGATAACTTCTGAGCACTCTTTTTGTTCGACTAGACAAATTGTAATCCAAATTTTGTGTTTTAAAAAAGTAAGAAAACTGTATCTACTGGTACAATCCTACACTGGACACTATTTCTGACCTTAGTTGATGACATTTAGAATTACTACTAGTATTTATAACTTGAATATAATTGTGTCTGTAAAATTGATAAACTAACAATATAGTGAGAAATACAAGTCAAGAGTTTTGTCATTTCAGTTCATTTTTATTGTGAAATGTACTGGATTTACGCACTTTTTATCAGTATAAACTATAATTCATTTGATGCAAATTGGATTATTCTGACAAAACTAAGAAAAATAACAATATCAAGTAAGTAAACCATTGATGTAGGCCTACTTATTGCATGTGCATGGATTCCCATGTTATCACATTGCTATGTTTACAAACAATGTGATCACATGATTATTTACATAATAAACTCCTCCCCTTAGTTCAAATTTGAATTTCTGTTATCATTTGATATTAAATTATAAGAACCTTTTTCTTCATACATTTTGCAATTTCTTATCTAGACTGATAGATTGATCAATTGGCTTCATTTAGGATTTTTTTCATTGGTAAAAATCACCATTTTACATAAATATTTTTGAAAATCTCTCCCTGATCTGAATTCAGTTTGAAAATTCAAGGGAAACCACCCACCAGCCATTACCTCCCTTTTATACATAGGTTGGGTCTTTAAACAGAAACATGTTGTTTGTTTGACCTTCCTTTCTTACTTCTGTCAAACTTGCTCTCTGTTTCAAATAATACCTGCTTTAATTGATTGACTGATATTGATACTGGATTTGCCCAGTTTTGGAATAGTCCATTCCAGTCAAGTTTAAGGGGTTTCAGTATCAAAATACAGATATTGAGCTACTTACAGTAAAGAACCTGGTCAGACTGCAGAGATATTGGCAAAGGTTAATAACTTTTGATTCCAGTAGTTTAATGATTAATGGTATTTTTGTTAATTTTACTATGTTCATTGTTTGATTGCAGGGACAAGTCTGGTGTTTTGTCTATCAAAGCTGTCAAATTTATTCTTGCAATAATGTCATCAGCAAATCTTTCTGAGAAATACAGATGTAAGTATATACTGTATAATGTTTTTGACTTAGTTATTAAAAAAATTTACACTGTAATGATATCCTATCCATTGGAAACACATATCAGGGTGGTAAAGTCAATAATTAGATGTTACTGAGCCTTTTGCTTTATATAAGCACAGAAGTGGGGAGTGTAAAGTTCAGCAACTTCAGAGTTGTAAGTTTGAAACCTTGGTGCGGCGTATGTTTTCCATAACAGGATGGTTGAAAGCAATATGTTCATTTTCATTCTCTATCCAAAACTGTTTCCAATTATTTATTTGAAGAAGTTGGCTGTTACTTGGGGGAAAAAACAGGTTAGGTATAGAAACCAGAAAACTGGTTGATTAACTTGATATTAGTTGTTTGTGTGTGTTTTGGTGCATGTGGGTTTGAAGTTACATATACAATGTGAAGGTCATAGAGGGAGTTTCGATCTTTAATGATATTGAAGAACTTAGATGCCCTTAGTAGGTACCTAAGTGGAACCAGAAATCTTCTGAACGCAAGCTAGCTGGATTATTTTTCTGTACATAAAAGGTCCCAAAGTTTCTGGTGGTATGGAAAACAAAAGCTGTTAGGTGCATGCGATTCATGCACTGGCCCTAACCCTTAACCTCTAGATTTTATGTAATGGATTTGTCCAGCCATTATATTTGGAACTGTCCATTATCAATTTTAGGGATATCAAAATAAAAATCTAAACCTGGTCAGCCAACAGTATAGACTGTCAGGACTGTACAGATGTGCAGGCTGGCCCGGCTTTATACTGGTGGCAATTGCTAATCACTTTTGGTTCATGAACTGTAAGGGTTAAGCACTCACACACTGAGGCCCAGAAGATCACTGTTAGAAATTGGTAATAACCCCTTAAAATTTAAAAAAACTGTTCCTGTCATCAAGGTTTTTTGCTAGATTTGAGTTAGGCTCTCTTAGCAGCTAATTGCTAATAATAGCACTCCTGTTACTTCAAAGTGAACATTAGTGGAACATTTGACCAATGTGCAGGAGATTATGTTTGAATTTTATTTCAAGTTTGACTTTTCAAAGTATATGGAGAGCTGTCTTACTCATCCTGGTATCCGCATCCACATGCAGAATACTGATGAAAGTTTTTTTGTTTACTCTCAAAATGTGTTTATTTACAGTTTTCTATCAAGAACTACATGACCCCAGTACTTATATTGGAACCCAGGCACTTACAGTATTTCTTCAGGCTGTCATGAAGGTATGATTGTATAACAAAAGCTTGAAAATTACATATCTTTGTGGTATGCTTAAGACGATAATGTGTAAAACAATGTTTGTATTGTTATAAGAATTATAGCCAAGTAAAAGAATTTTGTTTGTAAATTGTTTTAGAAAGTGAGTCATCAATTAATCTCAATGATCATTTTGGTTTTCTACAAATTTCTAAATTTGAAAGAAGTGTTTTTGTAATTTAATTTCATTATTTCTATCATTAACAAAAGATACACTTTCTTATAGTTACCAGATTTTCTTCACGAGAGTTTGGCATTTGGTAGAACAAGTGAGCCTGCGGTAGCTAGCTGTCAACAAATGGTATTCATACATTATAATACTTTACTTAATGTACAGTAAATCTTGAGTAAACAGTCTTCAGCTTAAACTTCACAATTTTACATTCATTATCAGTAATAAGGCTGCAAGACTAGAATGACTGAAATACTCATTTAAACTAATAAGTTAAAAACAAAAAAAAACAATAAAATAACTTCGGAAACAGATAATAATTAGTGTTTTTTGTGTTTTTTCTGACATTTTGAGTTGATAAATTCCGCTGTATCAAGAATTTACTTCTCTACCATTTACATGTTATTATTATTATATTAATTTAGTAGCACTTCAGGATATTCTTGGCAAGCATGATATAAAGTATTAAAAATTGCAGATTTTCTGTCCTGGTAAGCTTGATTGCGAAACAAGTTCTTGCAACTTGTATTAATTACTTTCGAGTCTGCTTCCTGGAACCAACCAGTACTGGTGTCATGTGAAGAAACATGGTTGTGACCCAGTCAGGGCTCAAACCCATAATCCCTGGGTTTAGAGGTAAACACCTGAACCACTAGGCCACCACTCCCTTTACATGTAAATAATTAACAATTACTAGGTATGAATTGTGTGTTTTTATTTTACAAGGGGAAGACAAGTGGAGGAATCACAGAGGATGTATTCTATAGATGGTTACAAAAAGGACCGCAGACTGTTATATGGTTACCAACGCTGCATAGAATAATCTCTTGTGAGAAAGGTTAGTCATTGCTTCATATAGTCATTACTTAGTACACTTACATTTAAATATCTACATAGTAAAATAAAGAAAAAATATTACTCAGTTTTATGATTTTTTTACCAGACATGTACTAGGTATTTCTACTATTTTCTGATTGAGTAAATGCTCATTTTGCATATCTTGACACATTCTAGGAAATTCACTGAATAACAAACAGTTAAGACCAAGGTCAGACAGCATGAACTTGCTGATTGATAATTGGTCAGTTGCTGCTAGCAGGCTAAGGGTTGAAGCTCAAAAGCTTCATTTAAAGCCTGGTTTAAGGTACTCCTCAACCAAGATTAACTTTTGTCGTATTACCTGAATAGTGTGACCCAACTAAATTTAAAATTTGCATATTTGAAATTGAATAATGACAATGATCTATTATTATATTGATATGATCATTATGACATATATATGTACATTAATATCTTACAGTGAACCATGATGCAAAATGCAACATTTGTAAGAAGTACCCAATAACAGGACTGAGGTAAGTATATATACCTATCAGTTTTTGCTAGTCTCTTGAGAGAGTATTAAATAACAATACATGTACTTTTCAATTGGTTTTAATACTTTTATTTTCTTTAGATTAATTTTGAGAATCTATTTATGAATTCATAGTTGGTTTGAATAAATAGGCTGGACTATTTTTTGAATACCTTTTATTTATTTAGCATCAATTTCCTTTTGGAATATGATGATGATGTTAAGTCATGAATAGATGAATAAAATTATAGAACAACAACATTTTTTGGACAAAATAAGCGAAATTTTCACATGAATTTAAAGCATTCTACAGTAAATACATTTGTATTTAATGAAATGAAATTTCGTCATAAGTAAAAAATTTAACACAACGTCTCCTTGATTATTCAGGAAATGTATATATACTGTGAGGATTTGAATTTTTAGCCCACCTGTCACAAAGTGACAGGGTGAGCTTTTGTGATCGCTTTTCGTCCGGCGTCCGTCCGTCGTCCGTAGTCCGTCGTCCGTCCGTCGTCCGTAAACTTTTACTTTAAATGACATCTCCTCATAAACCACCAAGCCAATTTCATCCAAACTTCACAGGAATGTTCCTTTGGTGGTCACCTTTGAAAATTGTTCAAAGAATTTAATTCCATGCAGAACTCTGGTTGCCATGGCAACCAAAAGAAAAAACTTTAAATATCTTCTTCTAAAAAACCCAAAGAGCTAGAGCTAAGATATTTAGCATAAAACATCTTCTAATGGGTGTCTACCAATTTTGTTCAAATAAAAGCCCTGGGGTCAAAATTGGCCCCGCCCCAGGGGGTCATTGATTTTCCCTATATGCATATAGTAAAAACTTAAAAAACTTCTTTTAAAGAACCCAAAGAGCTAGAGCTAAGATATTTAGCATGAAACATGTTCTAATGGATGTCTACTAAGTTTGTTCAAATAAAAGCCCTGGGGTCAAAATTGGCCCCGCCCCGGGGGTCATTGATTTTCCTTATATACGTATAGCAAAAACTTAAAAAATCTTTTTTGAAAAAAAAACCAAATAGCTAAGGTTTAGATACTAAGCATGAAACATCTTCTAGTGAGTGTCTACCAAGTTTGTTCAAATAAAAGCCCTGGGGTCAAAATTGGCCCGTCCCGGGGGTCATTCATTTTCCTTATATGTGTATAACAAAAACTTAAAAAATCTTCTTTGAAAAAACTCAAATAGCTAGAGTTTAGATATTAAGCATGAAGCATCTTCTAGTGAGTGTCTACAAAGTTTGTTCAAATAAAAGCCCTGGGGTCAAAATTGGCCCCGCCGCGGGGGACATTGATTTTCCTTATATCATACAGTGTATAGCAAAAACTTAAAAATCTTCTTTGAAAAAACCCAAATAGCTAGAGTTTAGATATAAAGCATGAAACATTTGCTAGTAAGTGTCTACAAAGATTGTTCAAATAAAAGCCCTGGGGTCAAAATTGGCCCTGCCCCAGGTGTGTCATTGTTTTTAACTACATGTATATGTGTAAAGAAAAAACTTGAAAAAATCTTCTTTTAAAAAACGAGCTAGACCTTAGCTGTTTAGCATGAAACATCTTCTAATGGGTGTCTACCAAGTTTGTTCAAATAAAAGCCCTGGGGTTTAAACTGGCCCGCTCCGGGGGCCTATATACAGGTGAGCGACTTCAGGGCCATCATGGCCCTCTTGTTAAATTAATTTGCCAGGTATATAGTCATAAATTTCTTGTGACTGAACTAACACTGAACTAAATTTAATCTGTAATTTTTCTCTCTGTTTACAGGTACAAGTGTTTAAAGTGTTTCAAGTTCAACATATGTCAGAACTGTTTCTTTACTGGTAAAACAAGCAAGAGACACACAGCCAAACATCCTACACAAGAGTACTGTACAAATGTAAGGACATTGTTTTTACTGGTGAAATTATACAGCATCCTGCATTTTGTTATATATTATAATTCTATTTTGTTTAGATATTTTTTTATTTGAGCTCATTTTTCACTAAAAAAATGCTTTAAGTCTTTAACCATGATCATGTCAGTCAAAACATGAAAAAATATAAGTATGTTATGTTAATAAGATGACACTCAAAGATAATCTAATTATTATTATTGATGTTTTTTTTATATTTTAATTTTGTGTTTAATTTTGAAATTACTAAAATTGGCATGGTCTTCAACTGTTACTCTGACATATGACATATGATAAGGGAAGCTTTACTATAAATTTTCTGAAAATTCTTCAATATTTTATAACTTATTTTGTTACAGTCTACTGCAAAAGATGAGGCTGCAGCCTTCATGAAAACTCTGAAGAACAATCTGAGTCGTAAACAGAGGAAAAAATCATGTATCAAATACTTGCCTATAGAAGCTGACAGCCAGTACACTAATCTAGCATGGTACATCTAATACTTTATAAACATTTCTGTGTTGTTTTAAACTAAGTATTTCAGTAATTTTATCTTAGAAAAGTGCATCATTTCACTGTTAAGCCTTCTTTAAAACAGCGTCCAGAGAGCTATTTATAACATGTCAGAGATAATCATTTCTAAAAATAGAGGATCGGGAAACGATTCGTTCGCTTTACTAATTTATATGTGGAGACCAGACCGGTAAATTAGAGGTATCCAGGGGTTCCTTTTAGTTGATATATTTTAGAAAAGCTGAAAGCCGCTTAAAATAGGTAGTTAAAATTAAAGAAGGTTATTCACTGTGAATTGTTTTATTTCAGTCTTTTCAGGGTTGCCAGCGGACTTGAAAAGTCAGGGAAATTGGGTATTTTTTCAAGGTCAGGGATTTGTCAGGGAATTTTGAAATTTAGTCAGTGAAAAATGAAAATCCTGAAAAGTCAGTGAAAAGTCAGGGAAAAATTATTTCAAAGGTCGAAAAATTTACGCATTGAAGGTCTTTCTTGGCTATGGCAGTCTTTAAGCATTTAATATTTGACTTTATCACTCTCACAGTTAAGCATTAAATTCAAATAACAGTAAACTGTGATATTAAGAAGCATTATATGTTAACTTAGTGATTATAATACCCATTATTTACCTTAGAACATCATTCAGCCTAAAGACTGAAAAGCTTTGCAGCCCTTGCCTCCAGAGCTGACTAATATGTAATTTCTGTTGCATAATTTAACCAGTTTCCATCATGTTTGCAAGACAAATCCTCTTGTATAATTTCTTAGTGTCAAAGCAAAAAGCATGTTTTTCACACTAACTTTTTTTCACACTAACTTACTTCACTCATTCAAAGTCTTTAATTTTATAGTGATTATTTCATGATATGCCAAAAGCAGCCCTAAGTTCTTGTTTTCACAATCAGTGGAGTTTATCATGATGCCTTATACAAGTAACTATGTTAAATGTTTATTGTTCTTATAGTTTAGAGATGTTTGAATTTTAAGTTTTGTCATACAAGTATTACTCTTATAGTCTTGGTGTTTTATGTGTTACTACTAGGAAGGAAAGAGTGACTTATGTGATTTCTAATTCGATTCTTCTGATTTTCATGGCATATGTTTCACTGACCAAAAGTCACACTGCGTTTGAATAGAAATAGTTAAGAATAGTAGAACACAATGTTTGAATCATTACTTTGATGTAAATGTTTTATATTTTGGAAAATAAATACAAGTTTACATGCAAAAATATAATGGGAGGATTGGACGGATATAGAGGAGGTCAGGGGGCCATTTATGTGTTTGACGATTTTGGTCAGTGAAAAACATGAATTGGTCAGTGAAAAGTCAGGGAAAAGTCAGGGAATTTTATTTCATCTAAGTGCTGGCAACCCTGCTTTTGTTTTAATAAAAAAGCATAAAGAATATGAAAGAGCATGAAATATTGATATCTAATACAGTCATCTGCAAGGAAAATGATTTCGATCATTTACAGTGTATTTATAAGGTCAGAAGTTATTTCAGCATGTTTTATATTTGATTACGTGAAGTAAAAAACAAAAATACTTTTCATCATATGTTTACATTAAAGTAGGTCACATTATTTTCAATGTGTATTTATATTTATAAGGTCACCAGGAAAGGAGGAGCCAGACAGAGACATTCATTCGGACATTTCTGAAACTGCAAGGAAACTTGCTCAATTAGAGCTTGATAACGATACTGAAAATATGCCTGAGACACAAAGTAGTCCAGAAAATATTAATGAGCCAGAAAGTAGTCCTGAAATATCCCATCCTACCAGTTTATTCACTAATAAGGTAAGTTTAAATGAATATTAGTTATGAAATGTTTTCTCTGTGGATGGAAAAGATACTCAATTTGTTAAATCTTGTGAGAAATGACAATGAGGATTTGAAAACTAAGCTACACTGTTTGAAATTTTGAAATTTACGCAGTATTTTGTGTGAGCTGTTATAGATTCTAGATATAGATATGTTAATAATTTAGATTCGGTCAAATATTATATAATTAGCATTTTAATTTGAATTTTACCGAAATGTATAAAAATGTTAAATTACAGGAGAATTTTTCACCTAAAGATGACGGCTTACAGAAAGAAAGAGATGAATTAAATGCAATTATTAGAAACCTTGAGGAAGAAAACAGGTAAATTGAGAAATAAATACACAATGTTTGACCTATTTTTCTGGCGTATTTCATCATTTTTTGACTGTAAGATGGCTGTTCATTATATTGTGTAATAATTATGAGGGGAAATGTTAAATATGAATGTAATAATATTTTAAGTTTTATAGCCATTAGAAATCTTACTAACGAAAAACTTCACAACTGAATCAAGTGGTTCACACAAATGATCTGGGCAGTAACTTGCTGAAAAATGTGCCAGCACTAGTGCAGACTCCTACTTGGAGTCCAAAAACACTAAGTAACTGCACAATGGTGTAAGACAGAAAAACGTATGCTGCTTTCTATTCAGAAATACAGATTTCTAGAAAAATAAAGATTTAAGCTAGTGGCTTGCATGTTAATTTTCATTTACCGAAGTCCTGAAAATTCATACAAAATATTATTTACATCACTGACTTCAACTTATTTGCTCCTCACGGCTATAGGTTCTAATATATCTCATAGGGGACTAAGAATTCTTTCATGTGAAGGTCATACTCAGATGCCAGAAAAAATGCAAAAAGCGTACCTGAGGTCTTCCTATATAATACTGGTAAAGAGAGAAAGTCGCCATATGAGCTTCACACTGTCTATATCACTTAAAGGAACTCCACTAAGGTCTCAAAGCCTGAAAACATAAGATTTAAATTTCTTGCATTGAAAAGCTTGGGCACTTAAAACAAAAGCAAAAGATAATTCATAATTGAGGAATGTTAATACTCGTATATACTCAGATATAAATTGAAAATCACATTTTTCTGCTATTCTTTGCCAAACCAGAGTAAAAAGGGTTGCAGTGCTTTTGAATTTAGGTCATATTCAAAATTAGAATAATTATCCTGAAAATTGGATTGAGCAAATGATCTGAAATTTTGCACACAAGTTATTGGTCTAGACCTACATTAAAAGGAGAATTAATATTGAAAAATTATTTTCTGCCCTGTCAAGTTAAAAAAACTTTAGAGGAGTCCCTTTATATTCACACAGAAACAAACAAAAAATTTATATCCAAAAAATGTATATATTTTAATACTTACTTTATATTCAGGATGTTATATGAACAAATGATAGCCTTACAACAGACCAGTGATACAGAAAGTGTTACATCAGACAGTAACTGTTATCACTCCGGACAAAAAACACCAACATCTGCTATCATGCAAAGAATATTACGAGTAAGTGAACTTTTTGTATGTATTCATATTTTGTTAATGGATAAAAAAAGCATCGCAAGACTTTCCTTATTACTATCAAGAACTGAGCCTGTACTGACAGCTCTTGTTAATTATTGATATATAATTGCCTAGAACTTTTCAATCAAATGTTTGAATGTAAAATTGAGTAGAGCTCAAATGTAGAATAATAATTTGAGATCAAATATACGATGGTGGTAATAAGAGCTCAAATATAGGATAGTAATAATAAGGGCTCAAATATAGAATGGTAGTGATAAGAGCTCAAATATAGAATGGTAGTAATATGAGCTCAAATATAGTATGGTCGTAATATGAGCACAAATATAGTATGGTAGTAATATGAGCACAAATATAGTATGGTAGTAATAAGAGCTCAAATATAGGATGGTAGTAATAAGAGCTCAAATATAGGATGGTAGTAATAAGAGCTCAAATATAGAATGGTAGTAATAAGAGCTCAAATATAGGATGGTAGTAATAAGAGCTCAAATATAGGATGGTAGTAATAAGAGCTCAAATATAGGATGGTAGTAATAAGAGCTCAAATATAGGATGATAATAATAACAGAGCTCAAATATAGAATAATAATAAGAGCTCAAATATAGGATAATATAAAAAGATTTATAGCGGTAGATTCATACCAGGCAAACTTTCTGAAGTTTTCAGACTCTGGAAAAAATTACATGAAAATGTATCCCAAAAATTACATGAAAATGTATCCCACTAAAATGTATAAAAAACAACCCAACTGTGAATAAGATAGTTAGTTTTTGTAAGACTTAACAGTATTTTTGTTAAACAGGAGACTCAGAATCTGCCAGTGCGGGAACCATTACCTGTTGAAGCCACGCCCATCTTTTTAAGTGTGCCAATCATAAGTGTGAATGGTTACCAGAGTGGTGATAGTTTCTCCATAAGTCCAAAATCTTCTGTTTATTATGGTAAGTGTATTTCTTTGTCTGTTTGACATTTAGTAAATGTAAATAATGTTGTTTTTATCTGCAAAACGTTTTTATTTTGTAAGATAAAAGACAGAAGATGGAATCCAGACAGGTTATTATCACAGTAAAGTTGGGTTCTAAGGTTGAAATGTTCAAGTGATTGAGAAATATAATTAAAAGCTTGGGATTTAAGTGACACCAGTGCTGGAAATGTCATATGGAAAGTGTTTTTTTTCCGCAGCTTTATGATATGAGAAACACCTCAGGGGCCCCTCGTTTCTTTATCCAACTTTATAAGGTGAGTAGTGGGCACCTGAAAAGTACCAATGACTTGTAACCAAAAAATGTAGGGCTTGGTTTGGTATTCACAGTGTTCAGGGTCTGGTGATTGTTGGTCAATGATCATAATGTCTTAGGCATAGAGGCCTGTGAAAGCTATTTACAAGTTTTGTATGCAATGTCTATTTTCAAACTACAGTAGAACTTCGGTAAGTCGAAGTTGAAGGGACTTGTGTAAAAACTTCGACATATCGGGACTTCGACTCATGAATTGCTCTCAATTCCATGACAAAATTTTGACCCGTGACTAGTCCTAATTATAAGATCTATGACGAAACCTATTTCGTGTTTTTCCATCATTAATCTGATATTTCACATTTTACAATGAAAAATATAGCATGTTAATAACTTTTTTCACGTCTAATTATTTGGACTACCCGTTGACCTATACAATAGAGTTACAAAAGGCGTAACAATACGAAAGGGCGATAACTAAACCAGCTTATAGTAAAAATTTCGCGTGTTATTCTCACGTGACACCGGGTCATGAATGTTTTCAAATGAAAGTCGTTCTTACTGTTTACTTTCAAATACCACTACAGTACGGCAATTAAAATAGTAACGATTACAGCATTTTATCACACATTTTATCGCAATGAACACACGGCTGTGTAATTAACACCTGTCACACAAGTTCATTGAAAATCGTCTTCGCAGTCAGATAAGGTGTGAAAAATGTCTCGAGATCGAAGGTGTCAAATAATCCAATGACTTCGACTTATTTGTGGTAAATTGCACTAGATTTACTTTATACGGACCACGAAAAAACCTCGACACATCGAAAAATTCGACACATAAAATTTCGACTCATAAATAGGTTTTTATAAGAAATATATAGGGGGGAAGTCGGGACTTTCTTTTTTCTTCGACACATCGAGAAAATCGACTAATCGAAGTTCGACTCATAGAAGTTCTACTGTACTGTAAAAAGTACTCTGAATACAGAACAAATCTTTTTTTATTCAAATTGTTAAAATGATATGCTTGAAATTTTAATGCTTACAGTAAATATAATTTAATGTTTTATCAATGTTTTACTCCTTACAGCACCATCAATTCAGCAACCTGATTTTTCTCTCACCGATTCAAGCACCTCGCCATACCATACCCTTAAGTCACAAAGGGACTTCACTCCACCAAACTCCCCACGAAGGGGGCTAACTCTTGCTGATAGTTTAGATGCCTTAGAAACTAGTCCGTCCAGATTCAGTCTTCCATCGCCAACAAAGAGCTATGACGAGTTCAATAGTGAGGAGGCAGAGTTACGTGCCCTTGTTAACGAAGCTGACCAAATGTTCCCACAGGACATGTCATATGGTGTGTAAAATTCTGTTTGACTTACAATTTTTTTTATTTCATACTGAAATTGTATAGGTTTAACATGTTTATTTTAGCTTGATTGTATAGGAAGTTTGGTAGCTTATTTGGACTACTCTGTTGTCCTCTTCTTGAACAAACAAGAAATACATACTGTATGTTATATACGGGAGTATCCTTATTTCATAAAATGTTTACTGTGAACCTTCAATCCTAAGATTTAGAGTCAGACTATGAAATAATTGGTCATCTCCTATTTAGTATATGTTTCACTACTTCTTGAAAAGTTAATGTAGAAATGTTTCTATATTTTGTACACATGCAACATGACTGTACAAAAACATATTTGATTTTATGCAAAAACTTACAGTACCTGATTTTCTGCACATTTTACTATTTTTCTGACATGCACAATTAAATCAGCAAAATATGAAATGGTACTAACTAGTCATAGGGAAATGTGTATTGCACCTTAGTATTTGACATGTAATTGACTTGTAACCTATTTAATAAAACATCTGCAATTTATTTTTATTTCCAGGCCAGCCTAAGTCAAGACTTGGTGGAAGTGATGATGACATGTTGAGAGCTGCCAACTCTATTCAGACTGCTATGTCTGACTTTGTGAACCAAGCTGTTAACATTCAAGTTCCGATGTAGACCAGTCTGAGTAATCAAGTTCCAACATAAACCAGTCTGCGAAATCAAGTTCCAATGTAAACCAGTCTGTGAAGTCAAGATCCAATGTAAACCAGTCTTTGAAGTCCAGTCCTGATGTAAACCAGACTGTGCAATAAAGTTCCAATGTAAACCAGTTTGTGAAATCAAGTTCCAATGTAAACCAGTCTGCAAAATCAAGTTCCAATGTAAACCAGTCTGTGAAATCTTGTTCCGATGTGAAGCAGTCTGTAAAATTAAGTTTAGTGTAAACTAGTCTTAAACCAGGCCTGAAAATCCAGTTAGTCAATGGAAATCTGATGTGAAACATTTTTATTATTTTAATGTAAACTAGTCCACTTTTATTTTTATTTTGTTATTTTATCTTTCAATGTTTTTAACTTAACCAATCTGTTGTGTTACTTTTAAATTCTTAATGTAATCTGCCTTTTAAATTCATAATTTTTATTTAACCAGTCTGTTATTATTCTAATATTAGATTGACTATCAGAAATCATTTGAAGTTAGGATCATAATTGTAGTACAATTTCCAAGAGTTGGAGTAATGTGATGTTCTTTTTTAATGAAATTTTCCTCTTTGTTTAATTTTTTCATTTGACAGGCTCTTGTTTTACTATCTAGCACAGAGAAAATTGTAACACATTATCTTAGTAAAATAAGCCTGTCACTTGTTATTCAAATTCTTTACTTACAGAACTACACCTATGTATTATGGGTTGTGATGGAAGATTTCTGACCAAGGCCTTTAGGTTTAGCATGCTTTTTACTTCCATTTATGAAAAAAATTCTTACAGGGGTCTTGATTTTTTGAGCACTGAGAATAGTCAAAAGGGCTAAGCTGTGGCATTTGGTTATTACATTATAACATGTTCAATTTATCAACATTTCTGTAAGTGACTTACTAAGTGACTATTAAGTTTACTCACCAAACATATTTTACTCGTTTAATTATTACTTTTTTAATGTAAGGTTGTGGTTTATTTAGAATTTTATTATTTTATTGTGTTTTTATTTACATTTATTAAAAATATCTATACTTCAGTTACGTTTTGGTATTGTATTATTCAACTTTCATGTGTATTATAAATGCGAAAAAGTAATATTTTTTTCGTATAGAAATTTATATTTAATAAAAAAGAAGGGCAATAATTAATCGTTTGGGTAGATCCATGAAGGAATAATTGATTCAGTAAGTAATGAACCATGTCACGACAAAACCAACATAATGGGCTTGCGACCAGCATGGATCCAGACCAGCCTGCGCATCCGCGCAGTCTGATCAGGATCCATGCTTTTCGCTTACCAACCCTATTACAAGTAGAGAAACTGAACGCGAACAGCATGGATCCTGATCAGACGCAGGCTAGTCTGGATCCATGCTGGTCGCAAACGCACTATATTGGTTTTGTCGTGACATGGCTCATTAATGTATTTTTCATATATGAATGTTTTATATTAATTGATGCCTTTTCTTTGCTCACTTGATTTGACCTTTTAAACTTTTTATCAAAGTTATTTTTATCTTGTGTGTCCTAGAACTCCATGTAAAGCTATGCAATTACTATAATATTTTTTACAATGCCAAAGTCAAATTGTCAAATTGCTAGTCAGTTTTAACTGTATTTTTTTAAATGCCTTACTCCTCAAATGTCAGGTTCTTGGTATATAAATCATATATTATACTTGTATGCACATATATGTTAAGTATTTAATTACCTATGTCTTTGCCACTGTATTCATTTTATATTTATTTATATTTATATATTGCGGGTCATATAAAAAGTTAGTGGTGCAATAAAATTAAGTGTGTGTTTTAAAATGAAAAAAAAAACACAACAAAAACTACTAATAAAATAAAACATTATTTTGCCTGTAGTCAGTATTTTAAGCTCAAAGCATGTTCTGTTTTGTTTGTCTTTTGTAGTTAAGGAATATAAAAATTAACTGTTTTTTAACGTCATCAAAGTGTATAAAGCTATATCTGATGAAATATTTTATACAAATATTGAAACAGTGAAATTAAGTTGTTTGCACAACCTTATGGTCCTGTCTTAAAAGATTTGTAACATAGAATGTCTATGTAATTTAATATACATGAATGGTGTACGTAAATAGAATAAAACGTTCCAGCAAAATATAATAATGCTGGCAGGTTTAGCAATGATTTCACGCATGTTCAACTGGCTTCCATTAAGATATACCAACACATTTCCATTCTATGTATTCTTTTAATCACAATTTTAAAATTGATTTTCAAATCCCAAGATACCAAATATAGCTTTATACACTTTCAGGATATTCATCACTAGTATTTTTTATTATTTTATTTAACTTGTACAATGTATTTTTTGACAAAGAAATTTTTATCATGACATGTAAGTTCAGGGTTATTATTTTATTAACATTTAAAATTCTAGTGTCTTTATAAATACTAAATCTGAATGAATTAGAAAAAAAAAGATTAAAGATCACTTGGAATAATTTCATTTATCAAGCAAACCAGGTAACTATATATGTTAAGGCTCCCATGTATACAATTTTTTGTAAACCTTAACATGTTTGCTAAAAATGACAACTTTATCATTTAGTCTGTGTAACTTTGTGCTAAACTATATCTTGTATTTAAGCTGCCTAACTGATTACTGACTACCTATTTCAATACAAATTAAAAATACTGTATAAGGCCCACTGCAAGGGAGTCGGCCAAATATTTTGCTTTGTAACCCCATTTGGCTCTTTCGAAAAATCAAAGTGAAGTCATTAGCCTTGAAAACTCTTATCTCACCCTATCTTAACTGGGCATAAGTAGGTGTGAATTGATAAAATCCATTATTACAGGTAATGTTCTGTGTTTTTCTTAGTTTTCAGTACTTAATGCTTAAAAATAAAAAAAGAAATCAATGAATTTAACTTACAAGTATTTTTTAATTGGTACAAGAAATGTTTTCTACTAAATCACACAAGGAAACAACTACATATTCAAGAAGAAGCACATTTAATGGGCCAGACAAAGACCATCTTTGCCATTTTTTAGCTCCACTTTAAAAAAAATTTAGGGGCATTGTTACAGTCACGTCGGCGTTGCCGTTGCCTTCAACAAACTTGTACCTTGATCATAACTTTTTAAGTTCTTGGTTTATTGTCTTTATATTTGGCCACAACAACATTTGAGACAAGACCTTTTAGTAGGCCAGACTAACCTTGACCTTCATTCATAAATGACCTTGAACTTTACATCAAATTTCTAAATTTTAGGAAGTAATGTCAATGTTGGCCTACCCGTTTTTTTTGTGAAAGCCAATTCTTTTATTACAAAGTTAATGTTGACCTATTTTTTATTGTGAAAGCCAAATTTTTATATCACAGTCATTGTTGGCCTTTCTCGTATTGTCAAGCCAAATTAATGTTGTATTAGGAAGCCAATTTTGGCCTATTTTTTATTGTGAAAGTAAAATTTTCAAATTTTTGTATCACAAATATAGTGTTGGCCTAAATTGTACTGTATAATTACAAAGTTAATGTTGTGCTATTTTTTATTGTGAAAGCCAAATTTTTTATATCACAAAGTCAATGTAGGCCTATAATGTATTGTGAAAGACAATTATTTTATTACAAAGTTAATGTTGTGCTATTTTTTATTGTGGAAGCCAAATTTTTATATCACAAAATCAATGTTGGCTTATCTCTTATTTTGGAAGCCAATTGATTTATTACAAAGTCATTGTTGACCTTTTTTTTATTATGAAAGTCAAATTTTCAAATTTAGTGTTGCCCTAAATTGTACTGTTTTACTATAAAGTTAATGTTGCGCTATTTTTTATTGTGAAAGCCAAATTTTTATATCACAAAGTCAATGTTGGCCTATAATGTATTGTGAAAGCCAATTCCTTTATTACAAAGTTAATGTTGACGTATTTTTTATTGTGAAAGCCAAATTTTTATATCACAAAGTCAATGTTGGCCTATAACGTATTGTGAAAGACAATTATTTTATTACAAAGTTAATGTTGACGTATTTTTTATTGTGAAAGCCAAAATTTTATATCACAAAGTCAATGTTGGCCTATAACGTATTGTGAAAGACAATTATTTTATTACAAAGTTAATGTGGACGTACTTTTTGTTGTGAAAGCCAAATTTTTGTATCACAAAGTCAATGTTGGCCTATAACGTATTGTGAAAGACATTTATTTTATTACAAAGTTAATGTTGACGTACTTTTTTATTGTGAAAGCCAAATTTTTATATCACAAAGTCAATGTTGGCCTATAACGTATTGTGAAAGACAATTATTATGTCTCCCCCACCTCGGGGGGAGACATATTGTTTTTGCCCTGTCCTTCAGTCCGTCCGTCAGTCCGTCAGTCCGTCCGTCCATTCTTCGTTTCCGGACGATAACTAGAGTTCCTTTTGACCTACAGCTCTCAAACTTCATAGGATGAATGGTCTTATTGAGCAGATGATCCCTATTGTTTTTGGGGTCAGTAGTTCAAAGGTCAAGGTCACAGTGACCGTTGGTCAATTTCTCGTTTCCGGATGATAACTAGAGTTCCTTTTGACCTACAGCCCTCAAACTTCATAGGATGATTGGTCTTATAGAGCTGATGATCCCTATTGTTTTTGGGGTCAGTAGTTCAAAGGTCAAGGTCACAGTGACCGTTGGTCAATTTCTCGTTTCCGGATGATAACTAGAGTTCCTTTTGACCTACAGCCCTCAAACTTCATAGGATGATTGGTCTTATAGAGCTGATGATCCCTATTGTTTTTGGGGTCAGTAGGTCAAAGGTCAAGGTCACACTGACCGTTGGTCAATTTCTCGTTTCCGGATGATAACTAGAGTTCCTTTAGACCTACAGACCTCAAACTTCATAGGATGATTGGTCTTATTGAGCAGATGATCCCTATTGTTTTTTGGGGTCAGTAGTTCAAAGGTCAAGGTCACAGTGACCGTTGGTCAATTTCTCGTTTCCGGATGATAACTAGAGTTCCTTTTGACCTACAGCCCTCAAACTTCATAGGATGATTGGTCTTATAGAGCAGATGATCCCTATTGTTTTTGGGGTCAGTAGGTCAAAGGTCAAGGTCACAGTGACCGTTGGTCAATTTCTCATTTCCGGATGATAACTAGAGTTCCTTTTGACCTACAACCCTCAAACTTCATAGGATGATTGGTCTTATTAATCAAATGATCCCTATTGTTTTAATGGTCAGTAGGTCAAAGGTCAAGGTCACAGCGACCGTTGCAGTGGGGGAGACATGCGCTTTTTTACAAAAGCATCCTCTAGTTTTATTACAAAGTTAATGTTGACGTACTTTTTGTTGTGAAAGCCAAATTTTTATATCACAAAGTCAATGTTGGCCTATAACGTATTGTGAAAGACAATTATTTTATAACAAAGTTAATGTTGACGTATTTTTTGTTGTGAAAGCCAAATTTTTGTATCACAAAGTCAATTTTGGCCTATCTCGTATTGTGAAATGCTATTATTATAAAACAAAGCCTGTGTTGGCCTATCACATTGTGAATGCAAAATATTATTTTATGAAGCCAATTTTGGCTAATCTTAATTTTATATTATGATTGCAAAGTTATACATGTATTATGAATGTAAAATATTATATTACAAAGCCAGTGTTTGCCTATTATTATATATATTTGATCTCGTTAATGTGCAATTATTTCATGTCCACTTAGTAGCTTAATTGTTCAATTTTGAATCTCAGATAATTTTACTAAACATGTGTGTTCTACAAATTTTAAATTGATTTAAAATGACTTTATTTTTATGTAAAATTAATGAACATATACATTAGAGATCCAGTCTTACATTATGTTTGTGTTGTAGCCATTACAAATTATTTTGTTCTCTTTAAACATTAAAACCTATATAAGATTAATGCTATGTAAGGAACAAATGATAATTTCAGAGATCTAATAAAATGTAGATTTTTTAACACCTTAAATTATATGAATAGAATATTATTTGATCATGGTAGGAATAGTTGTGGAGTTTTTTGTATGTATTGACAACTTACTAGTATATACTATATTCCTGTAAATGAATAAATTGTTTCACTATTAACCACTTTAACTGTTATATTTTATTTCCTTTTTGCTACAACGAATAAATCATATAGCTTTTATTTAAGATTGAAATATAATTATATCTTGAACCTACTTGTTCGTTATTTTTTGTGTGTACACATGGACATTAATTACAGTCAGTGATGTTTGTGACTATGCTAGGCTACTTGGAGCTGTTTTGGAACCAGCCTGTAAATTTGACATCAGTTTATGTTAAACTCTTGACTGCAAGCAATGAAGACTTGTATCTTTGTTTAAAGCTGGAACATTCTTCTCACATTTGCATATCTGAACTGCTGTTGGCCAATTAATTTAAGCATTTCAGTTCTAAAATTCCTACTTTAAATCTTGCAGAGAGAATGAAAGGTCCATGTTCTATTGACTAGATTCGATAGTAATGGTTCCCTGCTGAAACATATAACTTTGATAATGAAATCTTTTCAACTTCTGAGAGACAATTCAAGAATCATGACAAGACAGGTCCGAAACAACCTGCAGCAGAGGGTAAAGAAAAAACCAAACTATCAAATTTTTTACAGAAAATAAATTTTAATAACAAAACAATAATATACTATAATATATACCTCATACATTTAAGTCACAAATAAAATTTGAGCATTTTAAAAGTATTAAAATGGTATTTTCCTTGTCAAAGATTTCAAGCAAGCTAGATACAGTCTGTGGTAGAATTAGAGACATATAACAGCTCCTGGAAGAATTACTGTCATGTAAAATTTGTGATAAAATTAGTCACATAAAAGTTACTATTGAATAACAGTCTTATTAAATAAATAATAGAATAACCGTTTTCCCCTTAGATTGATCTGTTATGAAAATAAATCCTCTTTTTCACCCAAAAGATTTCAAAATTCACGAGTTGACTGTTATGCATTTCTCCCCCCCCCACCTAATTTTCTTCATTGCACTACTTTCCCAATAAAGTGAAAACAAACACTGGTGTTTGGAGTCAGTTAAAATTATGTAGCATTAAAAATGAATCCTCGTACAAGAAATAAATTTGTCTCTTCATAGTAACATACAGTTCTGAATTCAGTCTCTGGCTATACCACAAAAAATAGCTAGAAGACTGGCCCATGCTCTATACAGTTTAGAATTGATATTCAAATATTAAATATAAACATTGCTTCTTCTGAACAATCTCAGCTTAAGCCATAAAGGATATTTAAAAGGTTCATGGCAAAACTGGACAAAATTGGACTGTGAAAATGTTTTTATAACAATTTCAGTTCATGGCAAAACACGAGGAAACAGTATTGTGACATAAGCCTTCAACAATGTCATTAACATTTAGGTTTATGGTAAAACTGGATCTTCAACGAGAAATCAAAATTTGAAAATCTGGGGTATGTAGTCCATGCATTCCTAAAAGTTAGACAAAACAGAATAGGTGGTTTGAGGTAGGTCAGGTGCAACATTTTATTGACAAAATAAATTATATACTTTCATAACGACATAAAACACTGGGGTCTTAAACAAAGATGATAATTAAAATATATAAGACAACATTCAAAATATATTATTATATAAAGATAAAGCACCAAATTATATGGAAAAATGGTCATTAACATAGTACAGAAAGAGACATCATTAACTGATACTAACAGAGTACAGTAAGGAACATGTTTTGACAAATTATATGTAATTTTTGAGAATAACCAAAGTTTCAATATTAGTACTGACTGAAAAGTGAACACTGCAGACCATGATCAGATGGCATGAGTGTGCCATCTGATCATGGTCTGCCTAGTCACATAGATAAATGCAGTTGCGGCAAAGGGAATAGTGTTACTGTTTGAAAAATACTCTAAGCACGACTCAATGTTAAAATTTTGATCAAAGTCTGTTAAACTTCTCCAATCTCTGTTAATACACCCATGGGATAAGGGCCTTTCTGTTTGGAGGATAATGCTCAAATTGTTGTTTGTACCTGAAAACAAAGTAAACTTCTTACGTAATTGCAAAATATACTACAAATGTTCAAAGTATATTGTGTATAATTTAATTCATTGACATTGTCTACATTTCAAACATGAATTTCTTTCTGTCATAAACTCTTTATGCTGTTCTTAAGGATGAACATGTATGACAGCTACCATTTTGGGTTTTTTTTTGCTCTCAAAAAATGATGTCACACTAAAAATATCTTTTGAAGTGACAAAAATGTACCTACAACATAAAATTAATATGAAATATGAATACAAAATTAGGCAGTAGTTAATGTTTCATTAGTGTTTGTAACCTTTAGTTATCATATTTAATGTTTTTGCATGATAATTTTTTATTATCCCATGACTATATTTTGACAAATCCAAATCATTTATCTATTTGATAGACAGAACAAATGTGGACTATTAAATCGCTTTTTGGTCAAAAATTCTTCAACAAGCACAAGGTATGCTAAAAGTTGTAAATTCCATAAAGCTTGCACTGTATTCATGTATAAACATTTATACCTACACTGAGAGACAAAAATAGCCTAACATAAAATATAATCATTATACTGACATCATTTAACACTTGCATTAACATTGATATTACCTGGCACATGATATTACCTGGCACATTTAATGTCATTTATACTTAAATCAAACATAACAATCATTTATACATACATTGTATTTGTGTTCTATGAATTATTTATAACACACAAACATTTATACTAATATAGTTTTGTGCTATAAATTATCTATAAATCTACAAACATAACATATCAACATAAATTTTATACTAACATATTTTTGTTCCATAAATCATTTATAAATCTACTAACATAATTATATTGTAACACATAAACATTTAAACTAACATTTTTTTGTACTATCAACATTAATACAAACTAACATACCAGTTATGATTATGCCATGATCGTGGTATAAATGTTGCTGCAGAAAACAGGGCCCACACTAGCCCAGCCAGTGACCATGTAGCCAGTGCCCACCCTAGCCATTCAACTAGCTCACCAAAATAGTTCGGACATGTGATCAGTTCAAACAGACCACCATAGGGTATGTAATATCCTGTACAACCTAAAAAGTTAGATATAATTGTACATCTTTTCTTTGGTTCATTTAGTACAGTGAATTAAGAAATAATATATCCCTAACAATGACGTTAACCTTTAAAATCACTGTTTTGGAGTTTGGATGCGAGGAAATAGAATTATATCATGAGGGCGTAGTTAATGTCCAATATTCAACAAAATAATATTTAGGTCATTCTGCCATTTTCATTGTTGGTAATATGTATGCAAATACTTAAAGGCCCATAATGCCTTAGGAATACTTTCATTTCTATATCTCAAATTTTTAATTTTTGGTAATTTGTTACAGTTTTGAAAAAAATAAAATAATCATTTGTAACTTTTGCTTCTTTTGCTCTGATTACAATTGGTATAACTACCTTTGTATAGTGAATTAGTATTTTGTATGGAAGTCAAAATACATATACTACTTTGTTTAAATTTTGCTACCTTAACACAAACATACTGCAAGTTAAGCCTACTTTCTTCAGTTGTTAAACTTCTAACATGTTCTTAATCCATTATTAAAACAAATACTAAACACATGTTTGAAATTTCTAAAGAATTAAAAAAATATGGATTTCTGAGGTATACTGTGCTTTTCATACTAAGTACATCTTTAATCAAAGTATTTTATAACCAAAAAGAAGGGGTTAAAATGAACTTTACCATCTTCACCTTTTGTTTCTCGAAGTGATCTTAATTTATGATCTGCCCATCTATTTATAATGTAGCCCAACACATATAGCAAGATCCCTATAATAAATCTAGGATCACTGAAAATACAATAAAAACATATAGTTATAATTACAGAAAAAATGGTCAATTGAGCCCAGTTGTTTCTTTAAAAATAAAATGAAACAAACTTATTTTAGTTTTCAGATGGACTTTCAAAACGGGTGTTATTGTAATATTAAAATGTTTTTATACATATTTGCAATTCTAATAATAGAGCTTTGAAGGATAGCCTAATCAATAATATGGAAAAACCTGTTTGATACATCTTATAATCTGTATGTTTTATATTTTGTTACCAAAAATCCATTACAGACATCACCTATCAAGAACTGTCTCAATTTCTCTGTCACAAGTCTAAATAGTTGTGTTATCTGATAGGCTGGTGCCCAATGGTCCACAGATAGGGTGGTCTCATTGGTACCACAGTTCACAGTTTAATATTTCCAAAAAATTGTTTCAACAGAAAGGACCTACTTTCACTGAATAATTTTACTGTTTATGACTTTTGCATCTTTAATACTTAAAAGTAAATGTGTCCAATTCAAAGTCCATCAAACTTAATCTTAATGATTCAGAACTGCATGCAGTTGTTGATGCTACAGTCTGTATGCAAATTAGCACAGTACTTTACATATTTTTTGTTTGTTGTTTTTTTTTTTTTTTTTGTTGGTTTTTATGTCACATTCACACAGTATAGGTTATATGGCACCCTTTCAGCTTTACTGAGCAAGGAAGCTCAGGTGACCTTCCATGCAATATTTCAGGCATTAAAAGGCACCTAAGTTACGAACCACCAGCAGTCCATAAGCTAGCTGGATAGCCTTTTCACACCCACAGCGGTGAGGAGCAAGTAGTTTGAAGTCAAGTACCTTAACCACTCAGCCTAGAACAGCCCTAACTTTAAATGTACATAGCTTTAAAAATGTATGTTTTTCCACAGACATTTGGCAATGTTTGTAATGTGATCATTTCTTATTCTTAATTTAGTTTATGTTTTTCCTTTAAACTCATGCAATGTTGCTGACTCAAATTTGTCTGAATACATACAAAAAATTTCTCATGTAACTGAAGTAATCTGTAACTTGTAAATTTTTCTTTAAAATCAAAAAAACCATACTTACTAATAATAATTTTCTACAAAATCTGCATTTCCAACAAAATCTGCATTTAAGAAATGGAAAAGACAGTTTGGAAAAAAGCCTCCAAGCGTTATTCTGAAACAAAGATAAAATTATAAATGCAATGATGACACCAGTGTTTAGACATGGATTTTAAATACAGATGTTAAATTAAATCTTCTTTTTTCTTTTAAAATCATGTTGAAAATCACATATCATTTTGCACACTAGACTTCACCATATTTTTTATTGAATTCTTTGTCTGAATATTCCCTGTACATGTCATTGCTTTAAACTAATAGACATGCAACTTTTTGTGAACAAAATCTATTCCATGCATTGTTACCAATGCCTGCCTGTACTTATGCTTTCCATTTCTAATAAACTGCCAAGTATCATTATTTTAATAACATTGATGTAGAAATCTTTTCAGAAAATTAAGGGTGCTAATAAGGAAAAAACATCCATTTGAGAATCAGATCAGAAGAGTCGTCACATGGTGGGTACTACAACACATGACAGATATTATCAACATTGTCATTATCATTTTGCATTTCAAAGACATTGAAATTTTAGCCATCTGATCATGGTCTGTTCTATTACCTGTTCAGTCACAACATATTTTGAAATTTTTCCTAAAAAATACTCCTGATTGAAAGATGGACAAGTGAATTTATGATATTTAGTGTAGTAAGGATTAAAGAGAATTAACTTTAGATAATTAGATAATATATTAGTAAATGAAATGAAGGAAAATGTGAGATAAAAGTTAAAACTTTTCAGAAGAAAATAATGAATTAATCAAATTACATACCCCAAAGCTACTTTTTTACTCCTATATCTCATCAACATTGGATGTAAAATTCCTCTGAAAATACATATAACACAGAACTCAAGAAATGCAAAGATCAAACTATCATGTTTCATTATTGCCAATGTATTATTTTTGTAAAGGTACGTCTTAAACAACTTTCAAACTTTATTACTCAAGATTCACCTCAGACACTTGAGTGGAACCACTAACCATTTCATTACCACTATACTGTATCATAATATTATGTGTATGGCCAGATAAAAATCTCTCACAATTCTATCATATTCATTAAGCTGAGAGAAATATTTTTTGAAATTGGTCAATATATCACATACATGTATGTAAAAGAACTTGACAATTCATCTTAAACTTGTTACTTATATTTTGTCGATTATATATAAAATTATAGAATTATGACTCCTAAAATGGCTGCCACTTTTGTCAAGGCAGATAAATATTGTAAAAAATCAGGAACTATCTATAGACTAGCTAGTTTCCTAACAAAACAGAATCTAATATTCCTGGCGACATTTGAGAAGATTGCAGTAAAATGCAATGCAAGTGCTTCAGTGTTAGTAAATTAACCAAACACCCTACAGGGCATTAAGAGAATAAAAAAAGGCCTTCTTAGATAAAAGATAACAAAAGAACAAAAGAAACCCTTTTTCATTCCAAGCCGTGGAGCTGGGAGTGCAACAAATGAAAGTAACATTGTACTTAAATAACATGCATATTATGTTCAGACAGTTTTACCAAATTAACAGCTCTACATTCTGATCTTAAACTATATACATACCTGTGGACATAATGTGTAAGCCATAATGCCATGAAAATATAATTTGTATGTTCTCTTTTACTTCCATAAAAGAAAAAAACCTGCAAACAAAAATGTGTTTTTAAATATAAATTACGGGACAGACAATGCTGAAGTAGTACAATTTTGCTTATTCTAGTCATGCATGATTAATAATTAAAAATACTGTAACATAACATTTTTACAACTTATTGATCTTACAATCTTAAATATTGCCATGGACAAAATTCACTTTCAAAGCCTTATGTATTTGAACTTAAAACATGCTTTAAATAAACATTTGATTATAACTTATTGTTAAAAAAGTATCTATTGAACAATTTAATAAGTATAAATGATGTGTCATGCATGCGTTTTAAAGTTTGAAGACCTTGTCCATTGGCTTAAATAATAGTCTGCTTGTTTGTTTTTGTTGGATTTCAAAGGTCATAGGGTCGTCAGTTTTTCGCCTTTTCTGGTGGCTGTTTTATTTAGCATTTTATTAGCTGTTTTAAGCATTATTTCAGGCCAAGAGGATATCTGAGTAAAACCAACAACCTTCTGTTACTGTAAAGCTTCCTCACATGTAAGATTTCAAAGTCCCTGATTCAAACCCACATTCGAGAGGGGAAAGCAGTTTGAAGTCTCCTAAACCACTCAGTCACAGAAGCAAATAAATAGAATCCTACTATCAATCTCCCCATGGACCACAGCTGCCAATCTTTAAAATTCCTACATAACATTTTGTATTTTATTCTATCATATATACATTAGTGTATAAATAAATGTATATTGCTCATTAGAAACAGCTATACTTACCAATAAAAACATTAGAACTCCAGGCAAAGCATCAGAAAATATATGCCCAAGTCTTTGATGTATCATAGGTCCCCAGTTTGCATCCTGAAATATATTTAAATTTTCAACCATATTAAATATCATAAAGAGTTTATAAACAATGACATAAGAAGAAAAAAATCTTTTACTGCTTCAACTTTTTGCCTGCTGGTTGCAACTGATTTTACCTATGTAACCAATGCAAACAATTAAAGATCAACCAGAATATTGGGCCATCTGATCATTGTCTGCACTGTTGGATATACGGTTATTAGCCCATGCCAGTCACTTATTAATTATATTTTTTTATTATACATGTGTTATTATCTTATGCCCTTTTTATGATACAAAAAACAACAACATACATTTGCTTCATGTTTGCCATAGGGTGCTGGTTTTGCCCATTGAGCAATGATTGTAATGACAGCAAGGACAAACCCCAATATCACTAGACCGTAGTGCACCCAGAACCTTGTGCTGCCATCCTCGTACAGCTTCCATGGTATAGCCTACAACAAAAGAAAAACAAACTTAAATATTACGGGGAAGTCAAAGGCTGAGTCCGCAAAGCAGGCCCGGGGCTTTGGCTTGCCCGGCTATAGACTACATGTGTATATTTAAAAGGAAATCAAATAAGAAAAACAATTAAAAAATATATAGAATTATACACCTATCAATGAAATTTTCAGTGTCAGTTATAGTCGGGCGACGCCATTTTCAATGTAACTCTATGATAATATGCGAGATATTCCGATAACGGACAATCGCAACTTTTTGGATTAATAATAATCGTCAAGTGTTCGGGCGAAAACGGAAGCAGTGCATGAAATAATGGATGACACATTTAAAACGGAAATATGAATGATTTTTTTAACCGACTTCCCCGTTCAAAGGCTTTGCCTAATTTCATATTGACTCTCATCCTGCTGGACCCATAACTTATGTCCAGTGCAGACCAAGATCATCCAGTCGGCTTGTTATAGTTTGTGATTGTCAAGCATTTGCCAAGAAATAAAAATATATAACAGCAACATACAGGACTAATGTGAAGTCTGATCAATTGTTTGCACCTTTGCCTATTTTGTCATTTGATATTAGAAAGATTTTCCCAAAAAATGATGAATGATTTTTTCGCAATTGAAAGATTAACAAGTCCATATGAGATTTTTATCCTGGCAGGCATTTCATAATACATGTGGTAGGGGGTGGGGACACAGGCGCTAGTCACATAATTAAATATTTTACATGATCGGTCTATATATGTATATAAAGATATCTTATTATAGTATACAGCCCATATAAAACTTTAAAAAGTTTGTTTCAAGCACCTGTGGGTGGGGAGGGTGGTACAGTACTAATTTGTGACCAAGGTACTTTTTCTACAAACAAAATCTAACAGAAAAAAAGTTGTCACGATAAATGCGTATCACAGGTGGAATGATATTCAGGTGTGCATTCAATTATCAGATATTCATGTCTTATTTTAAATAATAAATTAAATTAAAATTACTGTAAAGATGGTCATCTGTTTAATTGTTTACATAATCGGGAACGGACTAATTTATGTTTGCACCGGTTGACAATCGGAACATCTCGGGCGACTTCGAGCAAAGTGGTTTTCCCGTTTCTAAAAATAGTAACAGGAGTGAAAGTAAACATTGTTGAAAGGTAACATTCTGTATTAATTACTACTTATTCGATTAAACTAAGTGTTTTTTATGATAATATGTCGTAACATATTTTCAATAACAAAAATGCTAAGCAGGAAACCACAGACATAATGGTATCTTTCTTTAGCAGTTTTGTCTTTTAAAATTTTTATCAGATTATCACAGATAGTAAATAGGTAAAGGTCAGGCAAACGTTCTAAATTGTCAGCCAGTTTTCACACATATGATGTTGTTTAATATACAGTGTTGACTAAGACTAATTGGCCAATATTTTCTGTAGGTGTCATTTACAACATCAAATGCATAAGTGATGCCAGTTCATCATGTACATGATTGTGTAGAAAAGGAATTTTGAATGAGCACTTCTTTGTGTTATCTATCTACAGTACATGTATCTTCTGTTAAAGTCAAACCCCTCACGGGGATGTACATGACATGTACATACAGTCAGTGTCCATTATAAATACAATGTACATATTTTAACAAAGAATAATAATAATTCACTGAACCTTTAAGCCCCAGAAATGCTTTCATTTAATTATATTTCTCAAAAGCTTTATATTATTGTATATTGGTATCCTGGTATAGTTTCCAAAAAGTTATGCATTGGCCAATTAACTGTTGCATTTTGGCAATATGTACAGTAATATAATTATAGTGATTTAGGAAGTAAAAATTCTACAATCTTTATATTTTGCTAAATTTTTGACAAATAATATCACATTCAGTGCTACTGCAGCAAATTATTCTGCATTTGAATTAAAAATTTGTTGTCAAAAAGTTTTTTTTTTCTATTTATATTTTAGAGATGAGATGGAGGCAGAGAGTCTGAAAATAGAAGAATCTGCTGATGCAGGAGTTCTTGAGGAGAGAATATTTAATGGTATCTTTGATTACAACTTCCAAGACAATGAGAAGTTTATTGAAGGTTGGAAGAAGGTCAGAGATGTCATACCAAAACAGAAACTTTATGAGTCGCTGGTCCGAGCAGAAGTGTTCTTTTATTCCAGGTATTGTATATGCTTCCCAAATGTTTAATAAAGCATTCCTTACATTAAGATAAGTTTCTCATCGGTGGCTGGGTGGTTAAGGTCATTGACTTCAAGTCTTTTGCCTCTCACCGGTATGGATTTGAATCTGGTTAGGGGACTTAGATTATTTCATGTGAGGAAACTATATGTCTAGCTTATGGAAGGTCAGTGGTTACACTCAGGTGCCCAATTATGCCTGAAAAAATGCACAAAGGATAACCTAAGGTATTCCTCCACCAGTAAAGCTGGAACGACAGTGTCGGTGTGACTCTAATAAAAAGCATAATAATTATTGTCTAGCACCTACATTAAATTTTATTGGCTGATACCCATCATTGACCTCTACCTTTGGTTTGGTTCCAGGTCATATGAGGTGTCATGTTTATCTGTTCACATAGGTTCAGTTGGTTTTTAGCCTAAAATCAGTTAGACATTTCAATAAACGATAACCAGGGTTAGCTGAAAACCTCAGAAATTTTAGATTGATTGTAAACATTACATTAATTTGTTCCTTTATGTCAAGATATGACATTTTGCTTTTAAATCTATTTTTACCAATTGAATGCTATCTTATCTTTATGATATGGTCCTACTGGAAACATTTACTCCATAATATAATATGTTTTGTAATCGGTGTTGAGTACAACAAAATATGCTATCTTTATATCAATAAATAGTGAATGTTAAAAATCAAAGAATTCTTTTAGTAGGGTCGGTTAGACATTTAACACAGTTATTAAGTTATTGTTTAAATGTTTAACATTTTTTCTATAAATCATGACACCCCTAGTAAAGGCCCAGATGGCATATTGAATGGAAGCTTAATATTATAGTCATTTAACTTGAGTGTACCTTTTTTTGCCTGAATCTGAAATTTTTTACATCATTGATGGTGTTTAATGTATTATGTCAAGTAATTTCTTGATCATTTATTACAGAGAAGTTTCACCAGTAGATTTGATGGGATATCAAAAGTGGTTAAGCGAAAATAGCAAGGAAATTCCAAATCTAGGTAAGATGGTTTATCTTTTCAATTTATGGCCAATTGAGTGCACAGTCAACAGCATTATCCAGTCAAGCCTCATACCCAATGTTCACTTCTTATTTCTTGCTCCTTAATCAATAAGGTAGTAAGATTTTGAGTTTGGAGAATGCCTTTAGCAGTAAAATGTTCTTCAGGTATGGATATCCAAGGCAAACACGAACATTGAGTATCGCTGTCATTTGTCTTTCACTGCTGAAGTTGTGTGGGATAAGTAGTCAGTTACTTGCTTAGAAATTTGCAATTACTGTTTCCAGGGAAGTCAGTTAGGTGGATTGAATGTCGAGATGCGGCCAAATAAATGTGTAAAGATAAGGGTTAAAACCAGAAAAACTTCCAACTTAACTATTCATAAATATTTTGTCATCCTACTTGGCATCAACATTGGCATTAACACTGAGTAACAGCTTTGTTTGCAATTTCATATATTATTTACTACTGAAAGTATTCATATCAAACTTCAAACATTTGTTTGGGATCATTATAGTAGGTGGCTATTGAAGACTCATAACTCTAGCATGGATTGTTACTGAAATGTTCTTCATTTTTGAACTTTATAAGAAAGTTTGTGAATGTTGTTTAACTAGCAAACAATAACAATGGTTAAGTATGCTGAATTGCTTAAAGCCTTTGTAATCTTTTTTCACTCAGTGTGGTGAAAATTATCACTATGTTGAATTATTTTGTATCCGGAATTTCAGTATAAGAACGCTCCCTGTAAGACTGGTGTCCTTCTACATTGTTTTACACTGTTTTTCTTTAACTTTCAGAAGAATTACTTTCTGCTGATCAAACAGTTTATACAGACAATGCCAGCAAAGAGGAAAAAAGCCAGAACGAACTTGAAAATAAAAACACGAAGATTGTGAACGATATAAATAAAGAAATAAAGTGTTCCAATTCAGAACAAACAGAGGAAAATGTTATAGCCAAGCATCCGGCTAACTTTATTGAACTTATTGAAATGATTCAGAGTGGCATGAAGCTACCGGACACAGATGACTTGAATATTGAGCCACTTAATATGGATCCTACGCCATGTGATATACAAAGTCCAAAGAAACCTTGGGAAATAAGTTGATGTCAGCAACCATTATATTATGCTAAATGAATAGAAAGATATAATAATATTTTTAAGCTGTCATGTTTGTTTTTTGGATATTGACTCCTGGTATGAGAGTTTGGTATCTAAATTGGAAGAATGATGTTGATTGTAATTTCCATGAAAGCAAGTACTAGTATATATATATATAGCTACAGTGTAAAATTATTGCTGAACACAATAGTCAGTAGCAATGGATTATTTTGTTAGTTAACTTTTCATTATGTGAGTAATGAAATAGAGACACTCTTTGTTAAATCAATTATCTTATTTGAAAAATGACCATAAAGATATAAAAACACTATGATGATATTTACAGATTTTGAAAATTTCTAACAAATTTCTTTTACACAATTTAAAAGTATTCGTTTTCTAATATTTTTATTAACAATAATGTCATTGGTAGTAGGAATTTTCACTTTTGTTGTTAATCACATCAACATTGTTTACGTCACATGATAAATTTTCGGCCATGTTGCAGAGGACCTTCGGTGACCTGTGGTATGTTAAGGCACAAGCAAGCACTTGTAGAACCATTAACTTATGTCAACAACTAACATGTACTTAGGTTTCTTATTTTCTATTGTGATTGAATTCAGGTTTTATTCATATAATGTTGCGCTCCGACTAAAATATATCGTTTGTAGATCTGATCAAAAGTAACTAGGTGATTTTGCTTTTCCGACACAGTTATTTTTAGCAAACCTTACGGAGAATTATTTTATGTCATCAGTAAAGTCAGTCAAGTCATCAATTTTGCCTTAGAAATATAATTATTCTACATTATGTTATATTATTTTTGGTAGCTTAGCGTTGATTCTAGGTAATTTATTTAAAAAGTATGGGCATTGCCATTTTTGTTCATCTGTAATCAATATTTTAATATTGTGAAAATCAGGTTCACGTTTCTGGTTTCTCAATGGTTGAAAATAGAACCGATCCACAAAAGGGGTCACTGATTGGATGATTGCAAGGTCACAAGAAGGTGACCCCTTATCGTCACTGTCAGATCTACATGTAAACATAAGAATATCTAAACTTAAGTCAGATTGATGATGTTGTGACCCTTATTTATGTACTTATAGCTTATATTTTATTTGGATTAAACTTGAAGATAACTTACTAGAATGTGTATGTGTTTTATCATTCTTACATTATTTTTATGACTTATGAACCAACACTGAGGAGAAAAATTCAAAAGACCAATGAACGTAACTTTAAGTTATAAGTTTTGAAAATGTTGATCATTATCAGCTTTGTCAATCAACAGGGGTAAACTTATTAAACTGTAACACTGTATGACTACATGGAACAAATACACATAATAACCCAATACTGCACTAAGGTGACGATATGAGGATGCACCTTGATGTGTGCTACCTGTCACACCATTTTGTTCACTAGCAACATGTGATACCATATCACAAGGGAAGATATTCCTGTAATCTGGAAAGTTTAGCCCTATTGTTTTGCTGAGACTGGTTAACCTTTTAGAAAATGTTAATTTATCGAAAGCTTGCTAGCTTTTTCACTTTTAATATTTAAAAATCTGGAAACAAAGTGATCCCTCTGAAGCATTAATCACAACAAAATTACAAGAGAATTGCAGACTCGGTGTGATTGAGTCTGTACATGAGGGATAATGAATACGTGCAACATCCCTCACACCCCCTAGCACCGGCTTGAGTGGTACTCAATTAAAACTTGTTCATAATAAAAATTGGAATGCATTCTTCAGGCCAGATAATCGTGAAGACTGTTGCTATCTCCCATTTATATATTTCAACATATTTCTTGAGTAAGTTTTTGCATTTAAGTTGGCATCTCCTTTACTACTGGAGGGAATGGATTGAAACTTTACATGCTTATTCTCTTTGATTGATCTTAAATGATTGGCATAAGTCCCATAACTCTGATTTGCTTTAAGAATATTTATGCCCCTTTTTCCAAAGCTCAGAACTCTCATTTTGGATAATGGATTTTTAACAGAATTATGGCCCTTTTTGACATTATCCAGGCTTATGTTTAACTATCAAGAACTGAGAATAAGTGAGCATGCTGTCCTATTGACAGCTCTTGTTATTATCTTTAATATAATTTTGGTCTACAAATATTGAATTGTCCCTGTATCCTTGACCTTTCACTTGATATGCCATTTAGCTCATTATAGGGAGAGCATTTGGTTTGTAATCCAGAGGTCGTTGGTTTGAATTTCTCTGTGCCATTTTATCTCAAACATGGAGTCATTTGTCTTGCTGATCAAGAAACTATATGGAATTGTAGTCAGCCTTGTAGTCAGCCTTATACACAAAAGATATTTCAAAGAAAGACAATATCATAGATGCAATTATAACCAAGATTTTATTTTACTTGTATATACTGACATTCTACCTGTGGATAAGCTAGGTTTACATTAAAGAAACAATTCAAGAATGGAATCAGGGAAATTCTCACAAAAATTAACAACTCAATATACCAAATCAATTAATTTCTCTTTTTTAAGCATAAACCAAAGACTTAGAACCTATATGTATGTAATACAACAATTTAAGTTGAATATGAACATTCACACAAGGCAAAAACGTACATTAACATAGGCAGGAACTATTGTAATATTTGTAATGATTAAAGGGGGGAAAAAAAAAATCTCACTCTTTCTGTTTTACCAGAATGATTATTCTAATTGCGAAAAATGACCTGAAATTCAAATCAGGCTTAGAACAGCACAAAAGTTCAATTTCAATAACTCTTAATTATCTTTAGCAATTCCTTTCTGTGAAGTGCCTAATTAAGTTGATCTATAAAAAAATTCAAATTTTATGTTTGACCATAGTCGAGTTCCTTTAAAATTGAACAATAACTTTGCATCATGCCCAGAAGAATTTATTTATGTTTTTATCTTTAGTAGTTTTTCTTTTGATACCGCATATTTAGAACTTCAGTTACTATGTATCCTGATGAACGTCTTAGAAGATTAAAACCAGTAGATCCTTGAAAAAAAAAACAGTTTACAAACCATCCTGATATTCTATATGATTGTGTTCTCTCCTCCTTTTCTACACTTTCTGTTTCAGTTTTAATTTGGTTTAAATTTGTTTCTTGTTATTTTAGCTGTGATATACATGTACTAGTGTATGTCTAAAATTTACAGCATCAAGTTTCAAGTATCTGCACAACATTGTTGATTGTTATTGGTAAAAGGATTTTTTCTAGATTTACTGATATTTTTAAAAAAATCTGCTTTTGTCACATTCTTTTTTTTCTGAATATTGACAGAGATAAATCAGTGTTGCAAAGTAGACATGTTTTCAGATTTCTACACAAGTTGTTAGCATTGATTCCATCCATATTAAGTTTGGACCAAGAATAAGATACTGTAGACCTCAAAGAACAGATATAATCTTTAAATTTTTAGGTGGTCATAAAATCATTGTTAGACAGCTGAAAATTTATTTGATTACTATCATTTTTTTTGTCCCAGTATCAAATACCTTCTAATATTATATGAGTTATATACAATGTACTGAGCAGTATAACTTGATAGTAACTGATTAGTGTAATTTTATAAGCTATTGAGCTTCTAAATGATTGAAATAATATTATGCTACAACGATATTTTATTTCATATTTTAATTTGTATCAGATATCCTATAAATATACATTTTACGGACGCATTTTAAGCACGCAACAGAACGATATATTGCGATGCAGTCAACCGCAACATGATTCATCGTCCGTTTATTCACGGGAAAATCCGAACATGACCGAGAGCTAAATTGAATCACGTGACACCGAGCATCCGGTGCAATATGGCGATCATTTTGAGAAAACTTTCTAAAACTTTGTAAACTTTGTGATTTTATCAATAATACTCAAGTAAGCAAACAAATTATTGTAGACTACCTAATTACACACATCTATGACTAAAATTGTTGTATGCATGGGTACCTATGACGTTTTATTCATCGTTGGTTAAGATTTTAATATCGAGCAAAAAAATTATGCAAAACATGGAAAAACATTTTTGACGATTGATGAGATAAACAAAATATAATTAAACCCTTATTTGCTTTAAATGATTATTATTGTTGAACGCACAGTAAATTCATGAGCTTTGCATAGCTGTATGTAAATGAGTTAATAAATTATAAATTATTATTTTGTCAGCATATCTAATTTATTTCCGTTTGCAGCATCTTCCTTTCAGATATTTAGGTCACAACAGTCACAGTGTTTCCACTAGTCTGCATTTATTGCGTTTTTGATGCAATAATTTCACAAATGACGCATTGGAAAAGGCTAAAAGCGTTTTCTATGACGCAGTCATAATCTGCCTTACAGTACATGATATTCTAATTAGATGGATTTTCATTAAGTTATTTCTCCTATTATTAGCGCCATCCAAATATTGGCAATTATTGTTTGGGTATCCGAAATGGCCATCCGAAATTTATTTATTTCCGGTAACTGCGGGTATAAGTTGCTCACCTATTGTGTGTCGTTATCTGCACAACATTTAACCATTCTACAATCAGTCACGGTATGCAGGATTTAGACATGCACGGTCAGGGTGAATATAGAGTGATTTGTGCATGCAGACGCTTTTCTCACAATGGCAAGCACACCACAAAAGATAGGGCTTTAGTCAGTGACATAGATAACAATGTTATCTACATCTCTGCTTTAGTGGTCAAAAATATCAATTTCTGCAATTAAACAGACGTATGACAGGTTAAATGTTTTAATGCAAATTAGACTTGGTTCTATCTTAAAAGATTTTTTGTTTGCATCCGCAAAAAGTGAGATTGAAGTTAACATGTGATATCAAACAGTTCTGAAATTTACTTTCGTAGTTTTTACTTTTTTAAAATTTGACCCTTAATAATTTCAAATGGCCCCCTATTTTTATACAGAGAGTCAGAAATGACCCCAAAAAATCTAGTCTGGCAGAAACACTGTCACTATCTAAATTTTTAAGTCTATTTATCCATCTATGTTTGCTATCAACCCCTCTATTTCAAGTGTTATATGAATTGGTGATGTGCATGTGCATAGATGGTAGAGTGTATAGAAGTCACAATTATACATATATATAACATAGGCCTATGGTTTATGGAAACACAAGTTGGTATGACCACATGCAGACTATCACTCCTAAGCTAAGGCTTTGGTCCCAGGTTGGATCCTGGGTAACACCTTTGGGAATTTTCAGAGACACTTTTAGTGTTTCCCACCTACCTTGAGATGCACTGGTAAAAATCCAGGTAATCTTCGCATACATGTATCAGTTCAGGTGTTTTTCCCCTTCTATAGCAGGGTCCGTTATAGGGCTGCTTCCCCAAAGAAAAATTCTTAAAAATCATACAGTTTTCCTCAAAACTAAAAAAAAATTAAATATTGATATAAAAATTTTGATGTCGGACCAAACCTGTAGGAATTATTAACGTCAAAAGTGCTGATACTGCCACTCTAGGTAACTGTAGTTCTAACAAGTGCCATTCAAAGATTCTACATCAGTCTTGTCATATTATATACTTTATTATTTGTAAAACAACTCATTGGATGATCAATGCAATATTTTTATTTTTTTAAATCACATTTTTGCATCACACTGCACATTTTCCGGATAGACGGACATGGACCCTAATTCCCAAAATTCGAAGAAAAATCAGTTTAAATCACTGAGATAATATCAGTGTATCATTGATATTTTCTGTATTTTTTTTTATACAGATTTGAAAATGCTTTTGACTAATAGAAATAAAACATTCTAAGAAATTTCTGCACTTAAAACTGACTCATAATTTTGGGAATTTTTATGCTCCCCGAAAAATTTCGGGGGAGCATATAGTCGCCGCCTTGTCCGTCCATCTGTCCGTCCGCACTCACAGGACAGTAATTATGTGGCTAGAGGGACAATAGGTAACTGTTCTTTCTCTTTGATGTCATTCATTCCATAATGCTTTTATGTGGCTATTTTCTTTTGTGTGGCTAAAAAGAACAATAGAGAGAACAATAGAGTAGCCACATTATTACTCTCCTGTTAGAACAGCCATCTTTCCGTCCGTCCGTCGCTTTTCTTGTCCGGGACATACCTCTGTTACAACAAGCGTTATCAACATGAGACTTTGTAGGATTGGGTAGATGTGCGGTGCACAAAACCGTTACTTTGCCTTGCCTAATTTTGAAGTTATTGCCCTTTGTTCATTTTATACTTTGAACTTTGTTCGAGCCATAACTTTAAGATTTTAAAAGATATCAACATGAAACTTTGTAGGTACATTGTAGATAGATCTCATTGAGTAGGTGTGCAGTGCACAAGAACCGTAACTCTGCCTTGCCTAATTTTTGAATTATCCCCCTTTGTTTATTGGTAATTGATAGAAAATATGATGAAAATGTAAAATCCCTCTTACACAGGATTTGTAACAATCATTTTCATGATATAATTGGTATTTGTTTTGGAAATTAACATTCAATTTTAGGTTTAAATTGTATATAATATACATATATATGCAGTATTTTTTATGTTTATATATCAATTAATATGAAAATAAAACAAGAATTCTGTCAAATTGATGACATGTAAGTGTGTGAGTTAATACACCTGTCAAATACTGTCCCATATTTCATTGCAAGGTTGTTGGGTACAGTGGACCAATGAATTTAGGTGTCATGATACAATGGAAAACTGTCTAAATCAATTAGCATACCATTTAGTGTGATGATTCTTGTTGAGGTTTATGAATGACTAAATTATCTATTAAATGAGTGTCTACATGTGAGTGTACACACCCTGTAATGAAAATTTGGAATTTGTATTATTTTGGAGATTTATAGATTTCTGGAGTTCATTCAGTTTATTGGTTCAGTTACATATGTAGATGCTTGGTGTCATTGGAAGGTAGTTTTGTTAGATACATGTAGAAATAAGTTAAGTGTCAGTGAAATGTAGAATTAATAAAGTATGGCACATAACAGTACCAGGAAGTACTGAGAAATGAACTGTTGAGTTTATTTACTAAAGTGAAAATTAGCATTTATTGTTGATCAGGGGGTAGCTTGGATTTCTGAGAAAGTTCAGTGAAATGTAGCTTTGGATTATTTCATTTGAGCATTCTCTGGTTTAAAAACTCTGTGAAATGTACCATTAAGAACTAACAATGTACACAGTGACACTACACATACTGCATGTGGTGCTTTTGAAATTGAAAATTTAACTAACATGAGCGTTTATCAGCAAATTGATGGCATTGGTACATGTGTATACATTGTATCTTTTACCACTATTTAGTGTAAATTTTATGATTATTAGATTATGCATTTCAAAATTTAAAGCATGCAAGTTTAAAAATTTAATAGTGATTTGAAATTTTCCAAATAAAAATGTTACTAAGTATTTTATTCCGTTGGACAATCGAAATTTTAAAACAGGACAAAAATATTGCATTGGTTATGTCAGAATTTAAAACAGGTCAAGAATATTTCATTGGAATCGATATATCCAAATTTAATGTACGCCTTAAAATAATTATAATTTTGTATATTTTTGTTACAGATAGTGCCAGCTTAATTAAGTTGTAAATAAGCTATACAGTAAAAGAAAAGCCACACAGACAAAGTGCACAGGGGAATGCACTTGACGGAACCATCAAGTCCCCGAATGGCCAAGAGTACGTCCCTAGGTGTGTTAGAAAAAGATGGAGATATGTACATTGTAGATAAAGATGATATTCTTGGTCTTACACAAGACGTCAAGAACTTCTCTGATGGCTTGGGTAGATTGAAAGAACTGTTCAATGAACAATTTGGTAAGTGGAACTCTTGTTATAAATTTATCAATAGCAAGTAACTTTTTCACTTCTATTTGTTAAGATTGAAGATATTTTTTTTTTCCTTTTGGTTGGGTTTAACGTCACACCAACTCAGTATACATGTAGGTTGTATGGTGACTTCCCAGCTTTACTGCTGGAGAAAGACAGTTGTTTTGCGGACAACAATTTTTGGACTAGTGCCACTGACTTCTTTGCTGAGTTGTTGAATATCTCGAATAACACCATATTCATATTAAGTTAAAGATATTATTATGCACAAATTCGATATTTGAAAATCCTGATGATTTTGTAAGTCTCTTTTTTAATGAAAAATAAACGTCTTTTGAGTACACAGAAATAAGATACATGTATGCTATGTTTTAAACCATACACACTTTAGGTAAACATAGTATGAAAACATAGTGCCATTTAAATATTAACTTGACCAGTTGTCAGGATGACACTTCCCAAACTTACTGCCCCAACTAAGTGTGTGCATTTTCTTATCCAAAATTAGACATAATATTCAGAAATTTTGTAAATTTCAATAAATTTCTGGAATTAAAATCCTGGAGATGACCATAGATTATCTTAAAGGATATTAACAATTGAAGGCAGAATTTGTTGCTCAAACAACTTAGTTTCCATATTTGTTGATTGTAACATGAAGTTAGGTACTTTTGTTATGTTGATAAGCTTTGTAATATAAAGGTATTAATTGAATGTAAAGGGCAGAACTAAATAATTGTTACATTAACAGATGGTGAAGAAGATTTGAAGGTATTGGCTCATGAGAGATTAGGAGATGTGTTGTGTACACTGAAGTCTGTATTACAGAGGTACCCACCCCTAAATACCACAGAGCTTTTTTCAGCGGCAGGTGCTCTAATTGGAAAAATAAAAAGTGAGTTGAGTTTTATATAAGAAGAAAAAAACAATTTCTAATGTTACTATGGCTCTTAATTGTTATCAGCCGCTTTAAGCTTTATATTTAAATAATTTATTTTTGTAAGGCATTGGTCTATACTGTGTCGTGGTGTTTATACTCTATTGACATGATTTCTGCAAAGATATGATCTATTGTTATTTTAATCAAAGAATGCAATTCTGCAAAATTTTGCTTTCTGGAACTTACAATATTTGCATCATATAAGAAAAATGGCACACCCTTTGCTTAAGGGAAGGACTGTCCGACACCTTCACCACTTAACCACTGCTTCCTTGACAGTCATATTTATTTGAAGTCTTAGTAAGTGAGTTATGAAGGTCTGTTTATAACAACTGTCCTACACTGCAACAAGGACTGTAATTGAGGAAAGTACATTTTTGTATTTGGTCAGGTTAACAATGGATGGTCAATATTTCTACCTGCATGTCTTTCCTACATGTATATAGCTTAATATTGAATATATTTTTTGCTGATAAACTTTCAATCTTGTGTGATAACCACAAGTCTACTTCTCACACTAAAGTATTAGGAAGCATTATTGAAAACGGCTTAAACCAATGACCTATGGTCTCAGAGGCTGACACTTAAATCACAAGGCCACTATTGTCACAATTTATACAATGCCTTGAAATAAATATTTGTTGCTATGAATTTAGAAATAAAAATGTGTGTGAAAAAATGATAAATAACTGTGATTCTCTAGATTACAACTATGAAGAACACAGTGTCGAGGCGATGGAAGGGGCGTTCAATGATGCCATTGATCAACTGGCCCTTGAGTTCAGTAGCAGTGTGTCGGAATACCTCATGGGAGATCTCCAACATGGAATTATTGAAGAGTTGAAAACTAAGGTGAGCAGCCAGTTTATATGTCAAAGATTCACATATTTACAAACTCTTTGTAATTGTAAGTGAATGATGAATACATTTTCATATAGATCTGTTTAATAAGTATTCTTATCATTTATAACTAATAGTTTACTGTATAATTGAATATTTTTCCGTCACAATAAGTTTGCAAATGTCCAAAAATGGACTTTGCGTGCAGAAATATTTGAAAAGTATGATTTCCTGATCTCCAGTGATATTAGCACGCTTGTGAAACAGCTTTTAGTGAGATGTTATTTTTAACAGGATATATTTACGTAGTAACCTGTGCACCGGTGTACTGGTTAAATGATGAATGGCCACCAAATGTCTTTATTATACCCCCAAAAACGAAGTTTGGGGGGGTATATAGGAGTCACCGGTTGGTCGGTCGGTCGGGCGGTCGGTCGGTCCAGACGTCCGTTGCATTTTCCTTGTCCGGACCATAACTTGAAGACTAATGGTTGGAATTCAATATAACTACATACAATGGTCAAGCACATTGAGAGGAAGTGCAGTGCACAAGAACCATAACTCTATCTTGACTAATTACAGAGTTATTGCCCTTTGTTACTTTTCCTTGTCCAGGGCATAACTTGAAAACTACTGGTTGGAATTCAAAACAACTTCATACAATTGTCAAACACAATAAGGGGAAGTGCAGTGCACAAGTACCATAACTCTATCTAAAGTAATTACAGAGTTATTGCCCTTTGTTACTTTTCCATTGCTTTCTTTTGTCCGGACCATAACTTGAAGACTAATGGTTGGAATTCAATATAACTACATACAATGGTCAAGCACATTGAGAGGAAGTGCAGTGCACAAGAACCATAACTCTATCTTGACTAATTACAGAGTTATTGCCCTTTGTTACTTTTCCTTGTCCGGGGCATAACTTGAAAATTACTGGTTGGAATTCAAAACAACTTCATACAATTGTCAAACACAATAAGGGGAAGTGCAGTGCACAAGAACCATAACTCTATCTAAAGTAATTACAGAGTTATTGCCCTTTGTTACTTTTCCATTGCTTTCTTTTGTCCGGACCATAACTTGAAGACTAATGGTTGGAATTCAATATAACTACATACAATGGTCAAGCACATTGAGAGGAAGTGCAGTGCACAAGAACCATAACTCTATCTTGACTAATTACAGAGTTATTGCCCTTTGTTACTTTTCCTTGTCCGGGGCATAACTTGAAAATTACTGGTTGGAATTCAAAACAACTTCATACAATTGTCAAACACAGTAAGGGGAAGTGCAGTGCATAAGAACCATAACTCTATCTAAAGTAATTACAGAGTTATTGCCCTTTGTTACTTTTCCATTGCTTTCTTTTGTCCGGAGTATAACTTGAAGACTAATTGTTGGAATTTATTATAACTTCATCCAATGGTCAAACACATTGAGAGGAAATGCAGTGCACAAGAACCATAACTCCATCTTGACTAATTACAGAGTTACTGCCCTTTATTACTTTTCCATTGCTTTTTTTTGTCCGGAGCATAACTTGAAGACTAATGGTTGGAATTCAATATAACTTCATACAATGGTCAAGCACATTGAGAGGAAGTGCAGTGCACAAGAACCATAACTCCATCTTGACAAATTACAGAGTTATTGCCCTTTGTTACTTTTCCTTGTCCAGAGCATAACTTGAAAACTACTGTTTGGAATTCAATACAACTTCATACAGTTGTCAAGGACATTAAAAGGAAGTGCAGTGCATAAGAGCCATAACTCCATTTTGACAAAATACAGAGTTACTGCCCTTTGATACTTTTCCTTGTCTGGAGCATAACTTAAAACGTACTGGTTGAAATTCAAAACAACTTCATACAATGGTCAAGCACAAAAAGAGGAAGTGCAGTGCACAAGAACTATAACTCCATCTTCAGTATTTATAGAGTTATTGCCCTTTGTTCCTTTTCTTTGTCTTTCTGGACTTATTACAGAGTAATTCAATAAAACTTCATCAATGGCCAACCACATTGAAAGGAAATGCAATATACAAGAACCACAACTATCTTTAATTGCCCACAACCATAACTCTATATTTCAATTCTTTTACAAGATATTCTGTTACTAGTAACATCCTCATTTCCGAAGCAGTCTTGTGGGGGTATTAATCACATTTAGTGATAGTTCTAGTTAAAATTGATGTAATTTGCGAGGCTCATTTATTTGCAATTTTTTTAGCAAAAATCACAAATATTTCCACATCGAAAGTTAACCTCTTAATGAATATTTTCTCATATTTGTTCATAGTTTAAACAGCTTGTACACTTGAATACATGTATAGTTATGTTACAGCTTACATATAAAGATATTCTCACTTTGCATTAATAATCTAAAGTTCTTGCATACTAGCATGTTGTTTTTAAGTATATTAAGTCAGATTTAAACAACTTTATTCTTATCTTGATTGTAAAGAAAGCTTTGAGCTTATCAAAACCACTCTTTAGTCAACTTTATGGACTATAAACGAGTGTTTATGTCATGCAGAGAAATGAGGCAGTGGTTTTACAGTTTAAACACAATGATGGCCTGAAAGGAAGGCTCTTGTCTTGTCATAAATAGTCTTCATCAGATTTAACCTCCTTAATTATTGTCACAGGTTATTGTACATTTAGGTGCTCAATGACCACCTACATTGACTTACTTTCGGCCCAAAATTCATTTCATTGGCTAAAACTCTGTGGAAATTGCATGGAGTTAAATTATCACCACTTTGAGTTTCAAAATTAACTCTTTAAGGGCATGACTGATGACATGTCTGGTATCAGTACTCTACATCTAAAGCTTCTTTTTGTCCTTGACAGCACATGGACCCTGAATTGAACATAAACAACTTGACTTAGGTTAACTCTTTACCTCATGAGCATATTGTGAAAAATGGCAGTTTTCATTGAAAAGCCTCCTGTTACAAGTTCAAACTGCTATGAAACTATGAAAAATGCTTCAATACTGATGAAACTAAGCACAAATGATGACTGGACCATAGCCTCTGTAACAGCATGCTTTATCTTAAATTTCCTGTTACCATGGCAATGGGACAGCATCTCAAAATTGCCAAAAAATCACTATTTTGTATTGTTGTTTTTTCCATCAAAACTAATTTCAAAGTGCTGCAACTTCTCAATGGATTGAGATGGAGTAAAAGGCTATTCAGCGTTGGTTACATGTTAGCTTGCGATCGACCTGAGGCCATTTTTAGTCACATGTCCAAAATTTTCTTGGCGATTAGGGGGGTTTCTGCCCCCCTTCAAGCCCCCCTGAAACAGAAGGGGGCACATCCTTCTGGCAACCCCCTGATGTGCCTTTTTGATAAGGGAGCGGGGCCGAAAAAGTGATCACTTTTTTAACAACATTTCCCAAATGAAAAATAGTGTTTGGGGCCTAAATAAGGTAAATTTTCACCGTTCAAAAAAGGGGGTGGGTCAAAAAGCCTTCAAAACATGTCTATATGAGGTAAAGGGTTAAAACATTCTGACCCACACATGACCGCTGGTTTGAGATGCAATCATCTTAACATCAAGGCCACCTCTGTCCCTGTACATATACTTAATATAATCAATGCAATACTACTATTGTAAATTTAATTGTAAATTTTAATGTGACCTAAATGTAAGTAACTAAGTGTAAAGAAAAAAGAAGATTCAATAGGTAATTCATAAAATAAACAACAAACTCTAGGATAGTGTTGGAGTAGATAAACTCTTGTCTTTTTAAAGCTTTGTTTGCTACATGTATGTATATATCATGACTGTTGAAAAATATTGCAACAATGGTTCTTATTAATTAAACCATTTTTATGTCAGTGAAAATCTGTATTTACTGTGTATCTTTTCCAGTCATATGACAATCTGTTATCTGTATCACGAGAATCTACAGACAAAGATGATACTGAAGAAGAAAGGGAGGAGCCAGGTATGCATTAATAAGCTTATTCATAATGTCTCTTTTATAGCTGGTTCTCGTTTTATATTTACTGCTTTGTGATATGAGTTAAATCATACAATCTAAATGACCACCAATTTTAAGCTTAATTATTAGAAGGTTATGTGGCTTCTGCTCACCTAGCGTAAGTGTAACTTTTTATGCCCCCCTTCGAAGAAGAGGGGGGTATATTGTTTTGCTAATGTTGGTCTGTCTGTCTGCCTGTCTGTCGGTAGACCAGATGATTTCCGCTGATTATCTTGAAAACTATTTATCACAAAGTCTTCATATTTCACATAGTGATTGGTCATAACAAGTAGATGACCCCTATTGATTTTGGGGTCACTAGGTCAAAGGTCAAGGTCACAGGGGCCTTAAATGTCAAAATGGTTTCCGCTGATTATCTTGAAAAGTATTCATCACAAAGTAGTCATATTTCACATAGTGATTAGTCATAACTAGTAGATGACCCCAATTGATTTTGGTGTAACCAGGTCAAGGTCAAAATCACAGGGTCTTTGAATGGCTCATTATCTTGAAAGATAATTATCACAAAGTCTTCATATTTCATAGTGATTGGTCATAACCAACAGATGATCTGTATTGCTTTTGGGGTCACTAGAACAAAGGCCAAGGTTACAGGGGCCTTAAATGTCAGAATGGTTTCCACTGATTATCTTGAAAACTAAAGTCTTCATACTTCACATACTGATTGGTCATAACTAGTTAGTGACCACTATGGATTTTTGGGTCACTAGGTCAAAGGTCAAGGTCACAGGATTCTGAATGTTAGTATGGTTTCCGCTCATTATCTTGAAAGCTTTTTATCACAAAGTGTTCATATTTCTAATATTGATTGATCATAACTTTTTGATGACCCCTATTGATTTTGGGTCACTAGTCTAGTTCAAAGGTCTAGGTCACATGGGCCTTAAATGTCTCATTATCTTGAAATCTGTTTATCACAAAGTCTTCATTATTTTTCTTTTTTCCATAATTGAACACTTCCATGTGCCAATTTATGGCAAGTATCTCTGACATAATATATAATAGTATCTCTGACCAATAATGTGAGTCAAGGGCTAGAAAGGGGGGCATATGTGTCGTTCGACATTTCTTGTTTATTAAATGTTTATGTGCAACTTCTTGTACAACATCATATATTATCAAGTACTATAAATATTTGCTTGTAGTAGTACACATTCATACTGTATATATCACACTTCTTAAACTACTAAAACTTTGTTTTCTAGTTGTGCGACTGACAGCCGAACAGATAGATGGCACATTGATGAATCTGCAGGCAGGTCTCGAGCTGGCGTTCTCTAGAGCCAAAGCTTGGTCTAAGTACCTGAAAGATGTCATGTCTTATATTGAGAGGAGAGCTCAACTTGGTAAATATAAAATTAGACATTTCTAATATTGTAGGGACCTACTAAGGTCACAAAATTTAAATTACTGCCATTTTACTACTGCAAGTAGTTCAAATATTACAAAGGATGCTTTAATTTTTCCTTGTGAAAAGGCTATCCAGCTAGCTACAGGAGGTCTATTGTTCTAACCAGGTGTCCACTTATTCCAAAAATAATGGATGGAGGGGATTTTGAGGTCTTCAGGGCCAGTTGAATGTGACAGTCGCCAGATAATCTTTACAGTGTTGATATTATTTAAAATGCAACCAAGAAAAGAAAAGAGCTAGTATTTTAATCAAAGTGTTAAAAATGTTTTATTTTACAAAAAAAACCAACATTTTTTACAAAAAAAACCAACAAAACACCCAAAGTACTTATTTAAAAAGTTTGAATGGACACACTTAAATTCACCGTGCTTGATACTGACATTTGCTTGTGTTGCTCATAATTTGGAATTTTCCATAATTCAAAATTCTTAATCCTTAACCTGCTAAATTAATTAATTGAGTTCTATTATCAAGATGACTATTTTAAGTTAGTCATGAGTATATAGTCCGGTCAGACTGTACAAACATGTAGGGCTGACCTGGTATTATGCTGGTGGCATAATCGGGTCATTAAGGCACGATTATTTGATACTTATACATGATGTTTTCAGAGGTGGAATACTCCAAGAATTTATCAAGACTTGCAGCGTCCGTAAAACCAGCTCTCACAGAGGAGGTAAGAACAAATAATTAGGTTAACTGAGGTCCTTTACTATTTACATTGATCTTTTAGCAGTTTAAACTTTACTTGGAGACCTAATACAGACAGAGAATGCATTGACTAAAAGAAGATACATTGCACAAAATAAGTATTTGTCCACAAAGCATAATTTTGAGCATAGTAAGTCTATGTTAAAGGCACTTCATGCCTTAGAAACAGATAAGTGTTTCTTTCTGTAAAAGAACAAAGATGAGTTAGAGCATGTTAGATGCTTATCACCTGAATAAAGAAGTGATGAATATAAGATCATTTGTCATAAACATAACAAAATGTAAACAAATATTTTGAAAGTAAGCTTATAAAAATGTGATTAAACCTTTTTCACAGGTGCCTTTTCTCAGAAGGGTAAATTATATTTCTGTAGATACAGTTTAGGGTATTCTTTATTGATGTGTCTCTGTGTAGATATTTCTTTCTTTAAAATACATCACAATTCACTGATCTGTGAGTTCAACATGTAGTACATGTAATAAATATGTAATAAATGTGTATCAAGTTAAATAGTATATATAATTATTGTTTATTAAATTTAGAGTAAGTTTTAATTTATATCTCCTTATAGATTTTATTCATTCATGATGAGACTGTCATTTAAAAAAGAACAGTAACTAATTGAACCACTAAATAGATAGTGCATTACCCTTTTACGAAATAGATGTTTTTCGGAACTCGGCAAATATCTGTTTTTTCCCCTTCTTATCTCAGATAACAAACAGATTTTCCACTGTGATAGCTTCATGATGGGCTACTGATCACAATAAAGTGGTCAAAGTATTGCAATAAATTTACCATTAATTAGTGAAATACCAGGAAGTTGTATAAGTTTGTTTTGACCCCAGACTGGTTGGAAAAATCCAAAATATTCTTAATACCAGAGTAACTATAATGAAACTACCATTTGTCATTAACTAATTTATTTTTAGGGGTTTTACTATCATATGCTAAAAATGAGCATCATACGGTATATTGTGTAATAAAACTGCATAAATACGTGGGCTGGACTGACTAAATTGGCACAAGAAACCTGTAATTACTGTTAAATAAGATAGGTTTAATCTACATGTAAGTCATATGAAATATTTTTTGTTTCAACTTTTATTAGTTTAAGATTCTGGGTGTATGTGTGTTGATTTGTCTTTAGATTTTCCTTAGATATGTTTGTATGCCACACATATGTTGTGTTTTTTTTTCAAACTGTTTATCTCTGATTTTAAAATCCAGGTAAGCAATGAAGTTTCTTTTTCACTTTCAAGATCACGTTAGCTTAAAATGATGCTCATTAGTGTCATGACTGCATGATTTTCACCTTCTCTTTGCTACCACTGTTTTTATATCACTTTCAAAATGTTGAAAAAATTAACTGATTAAGAGAAAAAATCAGGTATTCAGTCTTGTGTGTCTTAATCAATAGAAAAAACAGTTATTAGCTCACCTGAACACCTTACCCATGACATTCTTGTGTGGTTTTTACGAAGCTCTTCAGTACACTCTTGTTCTGGTATTTTCTATCTTAACACTATAGGATGGAAAATATACAACAAAAAGTATTTTTCAAAATTTGTCTTTGAAACACCTGTTAGACTGCATATTTGAATCCTAAAAGAAAAATTGAGCCGAGCCATGACAAAACCAACATAGTGAGTTTGCAACAAGCATGGATCCAGACCACCCTGCGCATCCTCGAAGTCTGATCAGGATCCATGCTGTTTGCTTACCAACCCTATTACAAGTAGAGAAAATGATAGCGAACAGCATGGATCCTGATTAGACTGTGCATTCGACTGCGTGGATGCACAGGCTGGTCTGGATCAATGCTGGTCGCAAAAGCACTATGTTGGTTTTGTCATGGCATGGCTCAAATAAGATTTTGTTCCAGAAGGATTTATCAGACTTGCATATGGAGAGTCATTGGTTCTACACCATGTCATACGCATGCACGAAATAATTCATTTTGGGGCTTTGACTTTGAAAATTTGTGGATTGAAGATGCTGTATTTTTTAGCTTATCAGTCTGTTTCGGAGAAAAGGTCAACGTATTATGATATTTGGGTTGTTGTTGCCGTACAAAAACTTTAATATAGCCTATTATTCAAACATTTAAACAGTTATCAACATAAAGACTTGCATATCTTCACAATGTGCAGTTGTTAAACAAGGGGCATAATTCTGAAACCTATATTTTTGGAGTTAACTTAAAAAAAGTTTGTCAAAAGGGGTCTTTTAAACACAACATATGGTGCTCTTGTTTGAATTAATTAGTTGGTGAATGGTTTTCTTTATCAAATGTGTATCTGCTGGAACTGAAATAGTTGTTGTTTATTTCACATACAATGTATTAATTGTTTGTTTTTTTCCCCCCCAGATAAACAGTTTGGTGAAAAGATTTTTTTATGAGTAGCAGCTTACATATGTATGTCTTATTGGTTTAAACATTTAGTTATACTAAACATGTAGTTGTTTTGGTGTTTCAGGGTTTCTTACCTTTACAGTCGGTATATTGTACAGTTTTATCTCAGGTGAGTTGATTTCTTACTTTAAATGTTTTACATGTTATACTAACACTGGTTGCCTCTCTTGTTGTAACCTTCTTCTTTTATATTAAAGTCAGAGAGATAAAAAATGATAACGGCTATGTCAAGAAAATTTATTTTAATGATGATCTGTCTTAACTTATCAAACAGTAGAAAGAAGTGTTTATATAAACTTGGTTGTTTATAGGGAATAGTACTAAGCCATACTGAAACAAAAACTTTTATGTTGTTTATTTTCAATAAATATTGCTGCAAATCTGTAAGATGTCCGTGGCCGAGTGGTTAAGGTCGTTGACTTTAAATCACTTCCCTCTCACCCCTGTAGGTTTGAGCTGCGACAGTCTTTGAATTCTTTTATGTGAGAAGGCTATCCAGCAAGATTACAGAATGTCAGTCGTTCTACTGAGATGCTCATTTGTTTCCCTGAAATAATGCACAAAAGGGGCGTCTGAGGTCTTCCTCCACCAGTAAAGCTGGAAAGTGGCCATATGATCTATATAGTGTTGATGCAACATAAAACCCAACCAAAAAAACTGTTGCAAATCTATTTATAAAAATTTAATAGTGTCTGTAGTGATTGTACTTCATAGCTCAGATAGGAGAACACTAGATCAACAAAGTCCTTTTTCACAACTTAAAGCATATATGAGCTGCGCCATGACAAAACCAACATAGTGCGTATGCGACCAGCATGGATCCAGACCAGGCTGCGCATCCGCACAGTCTTATCAGGATCCATGCTGTTCGCTATCACTTCTCTTCTTGTTATAGGGTTTGTAAGCGAACAGCATGGATCCTGATCAGACTGCGCGGAAGCGCAGGCTGGTCTGGATCCATGCTGGTCGCAAACCCATTATGTTGGTTTTGTCATGACACGGCTCAATTACATTATTATCTATGTTGTGGTATTGTTCAAAGTAATAAAATTTAATTTGTCTGATTTTCTGTTACTTCCATCTCACCTCTGTGAGTTCAAATCTTTCTAGGGACTTGAAATTCTTTCGTACTAGAAAGCTGTCCAGCAAACATATAAAAGGTTGGTGGTTCTACTCGCCTGCTAGCTTGTGCCTGAAACTATACAGAAACAGGTACTTGAGGTACCGGTACAATTGTAAAGTCACCATAATTATGATCTTTTATACCATTAGTGTGACTTGAAATTCATCAAATCAGATAGATGATTAAAATTAAAAACATGTGTTAAACTAAAGAAAAAATATAATTAAAAAATTTAAAACATGTGTTGAACTAAAGAAAAAAACAACTTAATCCATCTATTATAATAATTTTCAGTTTATTTTAGACTCTCACCACAGCTAACAGCTTCCTATAACAAGCATTTTGTTTCTCTTCACTTTTTTTTGTTTGTTTTATGTTAACTTCTCAAACACCATTTTATTTGTACATTTTATATTTATTTAAATTCTAACTTGCTTACTGTAAACAACCGTATTTATTCTTAAAAGTACCCTGTTTAGTATTTTTAAAATGGTAAAAAAAAAATAAGCAATAGATGCTGTTCTTGTAAACTGTTTTATCTCCCTTTGAGGCACTTTTTTTATAATTCCCTATACAACATTAGTTTAAGATAATTTAAAAATATCTTTGTATTCTAAGTTGATGATATTCCTTTTGTTATTGTATCTTTAATTCATGTTTTCTCTAGATACATGTAATTGTATAGTTCAAGTTCGATTATTAAATTAGATTTTTATATCAGCACTGTAGGGATATCCATGGTTAAGGTTGTTGACTTCAAACCACTTATCCCTCCTAGCTGTGGGTTTGAATCCCCACAGGGACTTTGGAGGATTTGGGACATTTCATGTGAGAAATATATTCAGCGAGCTTACTGAACTTTGGTGGTACTACTCAAATGCACGCTTATGCCTGAAATAATGCATGGAAGAGCAGCTGAGGTATTCCTCCACCAGTATAGCTGACAAGTCGCCATATGACCTATACTGTGTTGGTGTGACGTAAAATATACTGGTGCTGATATGCTTGCTGTCTTTTCACATATTCAGAATATAATTAATTTATCTAATTGAACCAGAAATAAACTTTTTCACTTTTTATCAAGCCATTAATTAAAAAAGGCATTTATTCTTTATATCTGGGACACTGAACATGTACTTTTGTACATTATTTGTTTCTCATATACATTTACATAATTATAGACACGGTTTACTGAGATCACACTTTTTATTGGCACATTATAGCAATATTATGAGGACACTTCTAAGAATAAATACATTGTTTATTATTTTTATTTTATTTTGTATGCTGACAATGTTAAGACTTGTTGTTTTAGTGTTTATATTCAGTAAGTATTGTCCAGTAAGCCACTAACAGCTGGCTCAGAATTGTGCAGATTTTCTATCTATCTTTATATGCGTCATGACATTTTCTTAGCATAGCAAACTGACTGCAGGGTTAATGGGATTGTATTTTGTGTGTATGAATATTGACTTGAAAACGCTTGCGTTGAGCATGAAAAACAGTACAACTGTGTGCCCTTATTATGCATGAAAGTAAAATGTACAACAAATTATATAATTATATATGCTGCTGTAATACTTTTCCTTTATTGTTAATTCTAACACGACCAGTATTTTTTCCTATTGAACATAGATGGACGGAAAGTGATTTTTATTATGCTATAAAATCACTGTTGACGTTCTATATTTAGACGTTCTATATTTAGACATGTGACGGAATCGTTAGACATGTGACATAACCAGTAAAAATGTGACACGCTGACAATATGTACGGAAACAAATCAGACCCAATTTAGCTTAATATCAGGTACGGCAGAATTTATTTGTTGATGACATGTTAGAATAGATCCAAATCGGTGATTTTATCGCTTGATGAAATCACTGTCGTATGGATGCGCATCATTATATAACTCTGGGTACGCCCTCCTGATATTATTCCTCGCATCAGAACTCCTAAACAGTGATTTTATTGAGCTATAAAATCACTGTTAGGGATATATTATTCTTAAAGTCTTATTTCAGGTTGTGTGAATTTTTTATATGCCCTTGCATTATTATATATGGGCGGACATATTGGTTTTTGTTCTCCCGGTCTCTTTCTCTGCCTGTCTGCATATGGACAAGATAACAATTAGCATTCCTGTTAGATTAAACCTTGAAATAATCTTGAAGTGAACGTCTTATGAACAGATTTAGATTTGACCTTGACGCCTAAAAGTTAAATTTTAAAGTAAATTTTATTAGTTAGAAAAGCAAGGAGAACTGAATTTTTTATGTTTTAAAAAAAAAAAGGAATAATTTTCTTTGCATGTTGAGCATTTTGTCTCTAAAGTATATTTGAAACTGGTATACAATTGTATACATTACATACATGTGTCTTTATACTTTACTTACTTACCTTTTTTGGAGGATATATTATTATGGTGAGCCTATAATAAACTTAATACTTAATACAGTATAATAATAACATGAATTGTATATTAATGTTCTATAAACTGTAAAGAATAATACATTTATAAGCATGAAATTTGTGATGATATATAAAGTTGAATGCATGATAAAAAAAAAACTATTATACAAAGTGTATTTATTTGGTACTTATATTTGCAACCATTTCCTGACATTGTGGTCTGTTGCCATTTATTAGTTAATGCCTTTTCTAGAAATAGCGTAATTTAATAATATGTTATATATAATTAAAAGTCTTAGTCAGGATCTGACAATTTTGTTTAGCATCATATTTGGCATCTCGTACATGTTATGTATTTTTAGCTTGCCCATTAAACTTTACCATTTAGCTGTTAAGGCAAGTCTACATGTATTTATACTTTACTCTTGAGAATGAGTCTTTGGCTAAACATATGTTTTTATGTGATGATCTTGCTGACAACATATCTAATGCCACTTGCCGTCTGCTTCTGCTCCAAGCTGATATCATGTGGAGAAGTTTAAAGTAACTTGTGGAGAAACAAGTTTGTATTGGATTCCAGGGATACTTGTATGGTAACAGCACCTGCTTGTGTATTGCAGAAAATACTGGCAAACTTGTAAAACTCGACAAAACAAATTTCTTTTTGATAACGAAATAAGGGAATTTACTGTTACATATTAGTTAATTTACATCATTGTGAGTGTTATGTTTAGATTTGGAAACTAACTAATATATGGGATTTACTTGTTTAAATGATTTTCAGCATGTTAAGAACATCATCTTGTATTGAAAAGAAACTAAATTCTTATATTGGAAAGAAACTGTTGAATTCATAAACCAAATTCCACCAAAATCTATTTTTTACTCACTTTACAATTCTTATCAAATCATTTCATCAGCTGATTATGTGTTACGGTATGTAACTTTTGCAGTGATTTGTTGGATGCATTAAGCTATGTTCATTATAGTGTTTAAAAGATATGAACAACTTTTTTAATATTCATTATAGTTGTTTAAAATGATATGAAAAACTATTCTAATAGAACTGTCAGCTAATGAGCTATCAATACAATAGTTTTTGCAACAGAGCAGGTGAAGAAAAGATGTTCTTTACTAGTTACATTGTATGTTAATAATTCTAGTACAAGTGATAAATTTAGTCAATGTTGTAATAAACTAATATGGCTTTAGAAGGGAACATATAAAGAAATCTACCTTACATAAATATGTTCTGTCTTTATCTATAGGAGTGTCAGTGGGCGTTTAATTAGTATAGTATTTAATATGACGTCAGCAGTCTGACTAAATTGTATAGTGACCATCTGAGAGGTTTGTCAGACTACTAACATTTAGTGGTGTATTACCACAAGGAAGAGTTTTACAAAATGCGCATTATGCTTGTACTTTGACCATTTTGTTCTAGTTCAGTGCAATTTATGTAAGAAATAGTACACATTACTTCGGACCTTATCGCAATATAGTGACCTCATAGTCCCCCCTTCGGCTCAGGTTTGTTAAATGTTTGCAGGCTGACTGATCGGTCACTATAATGCTTTGAGACCCTCAGAGCTGTGTACTTTTTCTTAATTATTTTACTTTGTGTTGATTAAAAACAAATTATACTTCAGGATGTGGAGTATGCCAAGACGTGCCAAGCAACTTTTACTTTATTACAGACCACCAAGTTTGTTGAGGTAAATATATAAGAATACCAGTTTAGTTTCAAACTGGTAAAACAATTCAATAACAAAAAACACTGAATAAAACAACATATCCTTCTGACAAAAACATAACATTATAACAACTTGACAGAGACTACATTGAATTTGTTGGATTCTCGCTTTATGTAATGGAAAGATTACAGATACTGTAACCCAACGAATATTCGCGACCAATTAATATTCGCTTTATTCGCGGATGGCCACGAAGCGCGAATATTTGTTTGCGCGAATAAGTCCGCACGATTTCGCGAATAAATTGGAGAGAAATTTTTATTTTAGACGTGGTTATGCAAAGCTACTTGACCGGATATATTCGAATTTTACGGGCACCTGTTAGGAAGTAATGAATTGTATAAAGCAATAAAAACACAAACCAAGTAAACTACTACTATTTTATAAATATCAAAAGAACTCTATGTCAATATAGCAATCAAAATAAACATCCACATTTTAATACAGTTTATGAAATACTAGTAGGCCAATTGTCAATCACGTTCCGTATAGGGTACTATACGGAGCATGTGTCAGTTTTAAGTTTCTTCATATTTACACTTCTATACTAATTATATGCATACAAAGTACTCGCACTTATTTTAAAATATATGTTTGAATAAATCGTTTGACAAAAGTGAGAAAACTATCGAGCATCACAAAAGGCTATTGTTTTTTGGATTGTTTGAGTGAATTGGTAAGACAAAGGTGGTATAAACCTATCGAGCATCACAAAAGGGTATTGGGTGTACATAATTACAAACAGTGAAATACAAAATGGTTTCATACTTGTATCGATTTTTACCCTTTAAACTTAACAGCCTGTATAGCTCAATTGTTTAGATTGCGGACTCATATAACATAATTTTCTCGGCGTGGGTTCGATCCCTGATTTGAGAAGGTATTTTTTTTATGAAACGCTTAAATTGAATTTCTTAAAGACTTTTCTAGATAAAATGAAGACGAACGATGCGTACATGTACATATATAGAGAATTTTTTTGCTGAATTGTGACCACACTTCACTTACCAATACATGTACAATATAAGGCTAGCGTATTGTTAATCCCATTAAAGACACCAAAAATGATCTCAATTATTGAAGATTAATAGTTGGCTAATGGATTTTACTGCCCAATCGGACTTCCCAATCCGCGAATTTTTTTTTTTCGGAAATCAAGAAAACGCAGAAATTAATATTCGCGAATATGTCCGACATCGGCAAAACGCGAAAATTTGTATTCGCGAATATAAATTGGGTTACAGTATTTAATCTAATGAAAGACTGATTTTATATTTCAAGCCTTTGACTGCAAGGAGAAATGAGCATGACAAGACAAGAAAACTGCTGAAGGAAACCTGGAACAAAGAAGTCAAGAAAATGGTGGGTTATTTTTAGAATTGTGAAATTATTTCTGTATGATAATTATGATAGAATTTGATTCAATTTATTACTGTTTTAAATCTGTTTGTGTGGACAAATTTTGTAGGTATATTTTCTTGTATGTATGTTTAAAGATTGTTGCCATTTGTTATAGAAATTTTGTATGTATGTTAGTGACTAAGTTAGACTGGTTTCTGTTTGATTTCTGTTTTCTTTCAGTGTAATTTTAGGGTCAAAAGTAAATAATATTTTAGAGGACAATTATTTTTGTACTGTATAATAAACTTATCTTGAAACTGTCCCTTGACAATTTGTAAACTGTCCCTTGTCAATGGGGGAACTGTGTGTTGTGAATGGGGGACTGTCCCTAGTGATTGATGGATATGTCCCTTGCAAATAGGGAGACTGTCCTTTGTGAATATGCGGACTGTCCTTTGTGAATGGGGTAACTGTCCCTTGTGAAGGAGGGAACTGTTCCTTGTAAGTGGCAGGACTGTCCCTTGTGAGGAAGTTTGTGAATAAGGGAGGGGGGATTTCAATTTTGAAATGCTGAAATTGATCAGCTAACAGTATTGAAACCAGTGAGGCCAATTTCATGGATGATCTGGCTGGCCTGGCTCTATATAACAAGTACCAGTATTATCCCTACATGAATTGAAAGGGCTAACAGCAGGTTCGTTGAAACATATAAAAGAGATAGTATTGTGTTCCAGAAGAATATTTTTTTCCTTTCATATATAATAGCAAGAATCAGTGAACAACCTTAGAAAGGCACAGACATTGTATGTAACTAGGCAACAGGAATATGAAAAAGCCAAAGAGCTTTCCATGAAAACTGAGTCTGATGTTCTGAGTCACAGTAGCAGTTCGAGTAATCTGTCAGCAAAAATAGACAAGAAAAAGAGAGCTGAAGATGATGCTAGTCATAAGGTAAGAAAAGGACTAATAAATGGTGTTAAAGCTTAAAATCTTGTCTAAGATATATGCATGTAGGAGCTCAGAAGAGGGCACAATTACAAGCCATTTAAAGAGATTTCTATAAATAGATACTTGTTTAAGGTTGAAAATCGTTTACAAGGTATATATCAGTACAGCTGATAGTTATAAGAGTCTCTTTTATGGCATTTCAAGGTAGTATTTTGGAGGCAAGAATGGAAGATTTTATCATGATGCATAGGGTTATATTAGGTTCTTGGATCATGTTTGCATGTAGAATGCAGAGGGCACTGGTTGCTAATAAGTGTAAGGTTAATGTAAAAATTGTATGGTATCTCTTTAGGTTATATATTGTGTCTAAAAGAAAAATTAAATGAAAACGGTAGCCAATATTGATTTGGTTATAATGATATAATCTGTAAATCATCTTAAAGAAGTAAGTTGATGATAAAAGTGATTCGCGCAAACAAGATTTTTACATGAATTTTCTTGCGATTGATAAGAAAATAGCATGATTGAATATGATGTTAATTGTATTAAAATGAGTATGACTATTTTTTGTAGGCAGCTGAGGCTGAAACAACCTATAAAGCTTGTGTAGCCGAGGCAAATAATAGACAAGCTGATTTACAGAAGATCAAAACTGAACATCTAGCTGCCATACGAGATCAAATATTGCTTTCTGATCAAGTCATTAAAAAGGTATAAACTTTAATGTCCTGGGTGCTGTGAGTGGCATTGGGTATACATCTAAAGTACATAAGTTCAAATATTCTGTTTAGGTAGGTGTTGGGCAAGTCCCTTATATTGGAGGAAAATAACACATTACTTTTGCAAATAGGGAAAAGAAAACCTGATGTAAATTTAATTTTAGAGGAAAAGTGCACATTTTCTGTGATCCCTCTTAGAAGAATTAGAAGGAAAAAAGCCTTTTCATGTGCACATAAAGAAACATTTTAATTAAGCATTGAATGTAATTGTATGTTCAGTATTTATTGCTAGGCTAGATATCTATGTCTCTATCTAAACAATGTTTCAGGTGACGATAGATTATTTCCAGTTGTTACAAACTGTATCTGCACCTGTACCTGTTCAGGTAAGAACCATGTTCTACTTGTATATAATTGTAGAATAGTCTTCATTTTAATGATAGACTTATTTCAGTTTTTGATTTGTTTTAAAATTAACGGAACTGTAAAATGTATGCATTTAAGAAGTACACCTCCAAATACGAAAATTATGAAAGTGTTTGAACAGTAATAATGTTCTCAAGTGCACAAATGATGTATAAATTAAGCTAACTATCAGTATCTTAAGGAGTAAATAGCTTGTAGAATATGGGGTAAGCCATACTTTGTAAATGGAGGAGCAGATATATGGTGATACAAATAGTAAATTTAGTCATATTTTGCAAAAGAATTGCAAATTATCACATTTATCCTGTACATTTCTTTGTGAAACTCTTGCTCTTACCTTACATGAAAATTTATTTACTCTCTACATTCCAGAATAAACATCCAAAACAATCGAAATACACATATATTTTAAATGAATGTTTTTTGTTACAGTACCATACTCTATGTGAGGCCAGTAAACGTTATGAAGCTGGGAGCCAGTATGGGGAGTTTGTACGCCGGCTACCAATGTCTACCACATCACACATTCAATATGAAGAGTTTAAATTTGAGCCTTATAGTGCTAAGTGAGTCTTATGTTATGTAGTTATGGAACATGATTTGTTTGTATGTTTGTGAGAAAGCTGTACACCTGACTTATGGCAGGTTGGTTTGGCTGCTGGGGTGACCACTTGTGTCTGAAATAATGCATGTGGATGCACAGAGGTGCACCTGAGGTTGTCATCTACCAGTAAAGCTGAAAAGTTACTGTATGGCTTTTATAGTGGTGGTGTGATGTAAAAATACATTATCTCAGATTGATGTAATATATCTAAATGTGTCCAAGAAAGTGTAAAAAAAATTAGCCTGAGTGAATTTGATAGCATTTTCTGGTCCAAGTTGAATGTAAAACTGTCAGAAAGGGCAACAAATTTAATGTCATATGATTTCAAATGCCAGAAAGCAACAGAATCCCTGTTTGATATGCCATTTTATATGAAATGTCAATATAATAGTTATTAATAAAGAAGTATGTAATGATAAATTTTCATTAAAAACAAGCAACGTCATGTGATAAAAGATTTTCATTATTTTGTAGACTAGTTCCCTAATTTGTACATTTATTTTACAGAGGTGATGTTGGTAACAGGAAAGTGAGTACACAGTCTAATGAGTCAGAACCATCAGATCATCAGTCAGGAGAATCCTCTCCCAATCTTAGTTCACCTAGGAGACAAGGTTAGTTACTGTGTCTTTGGTAATAAGTGTACGTGTTGTCATAAATTTCTTTGTGAAGCTGGTGTCCCAAAAAAATAAGGGTTCATAGATAAGGAAAGGGTTTATGGAGTTTTATCTCATTTTGTGTGTATTGTATTTTCTGTACATCTACACTTAGTCACCTTAGTGCAGTAATGGGTAAAGTCCTAAATTTTATAGGAGTTAACCAGTTATTATGCCACCGCAGCATCTGCGATGCGGTGGCATATAGCGATTCACCTGTGTGTGTGTGTGTTTGTGTGTGTGTTTGTGTGTGTGTTATATAGATTATATAGTGAACTTAAAAAATCTTCTTGTGAAAAACCACTAGTCCAATTTCAACCAAACTTGGCAGGATTGTTCCTTGGGTGAAGAACTTCCAAAGTTGTTCAAAGAATTTCATTCCATGCAGAAATCTGGTTGCCATGGCAACCAAAAGGAATTATAAGAATAAATTTAAAAAATCTTCTTGTAAAGACCCAAAAGGCCTAGAGCTTAGATATTTTGCATAAGGCATTGTCTGGTAGACCTCTAACAAGATTGTTCAAATTATAGCCCTGGGGTCAAAATTGGCCCCACCCCGGGGGTCATTGATTTTCACTATGTACATATAGTAAAAATTTAAAATACCTTCTTGTAAAAACCCAAAAGGCCTAGAGCTTAGATATTTTGCATAAGGCAACGTCTGGTAGACCCTTACCAAAATTGTTCAAATTATAGCCCTTAGGTCAAAATCGGCCCCACCCTGGGGTCATTGATTTTCACTATATGTACATATAGTAAAAACTTAAAACACCTTCTTGTAAAGACCCAAACGGCCTAGAGCTTAGATATTTTGCATAAGGCATTTTCTGGTAGACCTCTACCCAGATTGTTCCAATTATACCCCTGGGGTCAAAATCGGCCCCGCCCCGGGGTCATTGGTTTTCCTTATATGTATATAGTAAAAACTTTAAAAAAATTCTTCTAGCAATTGACAAATGCTAGAGGTTAGATATTTTGCATGAAACATTGTGTAGTAAACCTCTAGCAAGATTGTTCAAATTATAGCCCTGGGGTCAAAATTGCCCCCGCCCTGGGGGTCATTATATGTGTATAGTAAAAACTTAAAAAATCATCTTCTCTAAATTTACAAAGGCTAGAGTTAAGATATTTTCCATGAAACATTGTGTAGTGAACCTCTAGCAAGATTGTTCAAATTATAGCTCTGGGGTCAAAATTGGTTCCGCCCCGGGGGTCATTGATTTTCATTATGTACATATAGTGAAAAAACAAAAAAGAGCTTTGATGTTTGATATATAATATCATTTATAGGTCCTCTACCAAAGTTGTTCAAATTTTTCCTCTGGTGTCAAAATTGGCCCTGCCCGGGGGCAGTGATTCTCATTATGTACACATAGTAAAAACAGAAAATAAAACAAATGTTTTCTGAATGGGAGAAAGTTTTAGCTTAGATATTTGACTTGAAATGTTGTTTGGTGGACCTGTATCAAGATTGTTTTGAATTAAACCCTTGGGTCAAAATTATGCCTTGCCCAAGGGGACAGTGACCTACTTTCTTGTCCTTTGATGTACAGCAATGACATTTTGACCATATGCACAGTTTTAGTTGCAAAATTGAACTTTGATATCAGGTGACCTAGATTTTGATGATGTGACCTACATGTACTTTCTTGTCCTTTGATGTACAGCTATGAAATTTGAACCATGCGGTGGCATAGCATTTTTCTCGAATGCAATCTTGTTTATTGCACTGAGATGACAACAAAGCACTAGAAAAGGTGGAAAAAATTGCAAGATTCCTACAATCACATTTTTCTTATTCTTCATCAAACAATATCTAATTTGCTTTTCATTCATTCACATCAAATGAAATTTTACCAAATGCAAAGATAAAAACAAATGTACTCTTTACTTTATCAGATAAATACAGGGTACCAGTGAGAGGGGCATGGACCCCACAGGGTGTCGTACCCAACAGTGACACAGACAGCCAGAGTGGTAGTAGCAAGTCGTTGGATTCGAGCCCCAGTAATAGCCCTTATCCAGCAGGTCATAAGAAAATGGTGCTATCAGGGTCAATGGATGACCTTATTGAGGATAATGTTTCCCCAGGTGTTAAACAACTGCTAGCTGTGCCAGGAACCGATCAAGTTGATGTGCAGTCAATAGTCAAGGTTGATATTTTATAATATATTACTGTTGTAGATTTAAAGATCCTGTATGTTTTGTGATTGATATTGTTACTGTCTGTATACCACACTTGCAAAAATATATATATGTATATAATTATGCAAGTAAAACAATTTTCAAACATCGAAGAATATGTAAAATGTGTACTGCAAATATTTAAGCACATTATATTTAATCAATAAATTATATGCATTCATTTCTTATTGGAAAATTTGACTTAGATTTTATAGAAAATAAATTTCTAATTATCTCCCTTTATTTACATGAAATATTAAAATCGGTAATATCTTTATAAATAATGCTTATTGGAACTTACAATATTGACAAATCTTAATTTGAGCATCATATTTATGAAATAAAACCATGAAAAAAATGTGTTACAGGGTCTTTAACAGGTTATGTGAAATAAATGCTCATTTGAAAGATTAACCTTTTTCACATTAAAGAGTTACTGAAATTTTTGACTTGGTAAATATTAAGATTTTGTTTAGTAAAATAATCATTTAATTGTGTATTTTACAGTAAAGAATAATAAATTTAGATATCAATAATGACATGTCCAATGATGCAAGATCTGACTGTTTCGTTAAATTGTACGTGAATTGCTGAAATAAACTGGATAGAGTTAAGAATATTTATTTAAGTTAAACTGTGACACTAGCTAATTACTTAAATCACTGTAACCCACTTCATGTAACTAAAAGGTGCTTGTTTCATCTGAAAAACATTGATGTTTATGCAGAAAAGGGCTTAAATGTACTATTCCTTGGATGGAAAACTGACTCCTGGACTGCCAGGTCACTGCTTCTGTTTTGCTTTATTAAAGTTTATTTGATACTTACTTTAGATTGTTAGATTATGTTTGCTGCAGTAAAAATTTACAATGAATAATGTTGTAAATTTTACAGCGTCATGGTAGGAGAAGAAATACAACATTTGGTGTAGATTTCCAGGAGCAAGTAGAACACTACCATTCAGCCATACCACCGATCATATCTAAATGTCTGAAAGAAGTTGAGAAACGAGGAATTACTGTGAAGGTAATATACGCTTGTTAGGCCAGTGTACTTCATACTCATACACATAATAAGACATTATGAATTTAAAGTGAGCCTTGTTTTGAAAGAAAGTATAATTCATTGAACCACTATCAAGTACACTTTCTGGACATAAACCAGGGCTTTTTTGTTAAATTTGAAAAGAAAGCACCGGGCTTATTTAAGACAACATAGTTTTTTTTCTCATTGGGGAATATGTTGTGTGTACTGATCTTCCACAGTGAGTTTTGTGTTCTGATTGCCATGATTTTAAAAGTTAATGTTGATTGTTCTCTTCTATTTTCCAGGGAATATACAGAGTGTCTGGTGTTAAAAGCACTGTAGAGAATCTGTGTCAGAAGTTTGAGAGTGACCCTGAATCAGTGAACTTGGATGCCGAAAACCCTAATGTGATTTCAAATGTGCTTAAACTGTACCTGAGACAGTTACCTGAACCACTTCTTACATTTAAACTCTACCAGAGCTTTGTGCAAGTGGCTAAGGTATAAACTCGATATAGATGTCTTTTTATCTTTAGAGAAGTTCTCCCACTTAGCTAAAAAGGGAGAGCATTAGATTTGTAATGATTGCTCATAACAATTTATCTTGAAAATCAAGTCTATTAGTCATTTGTCTCTTAAAGCCTACTAAGAAATCATGTTGGAGATTAGTAGTTGGTCACTTGAGGAGAAATTGGTAATTACTGGTTTGATATCCAAGATATACTGTTAGGTGGTCTAAGAAGTATGCCTTAATCCTTCATCATGTACTATTTTTGAAAAAAAATATATATATATTTTCACTGCTTTTTGAATAATATCAGATATTAAAGAAATTTTAGGGATGTTTGAATAACTAACAGATCATTGCTTTTACTGTTTGCAGGAGAATATGTCAGGTGGGACAGACAAGGAACATACTGTAGAGAGACTACATGATCTGATTGATAAACTGCCCTTCTCTAACAGGAAAACTTGTGGTGTACTCATGCATCATCTACAAAGGTAATTTCATTGTTTATCATAAATTTCTGGTAAAATTCCAGGATATTGTTTTTATGCCCCCACAATGTGGGAGCATATAGCGTTGCACTTGTCCGTCCGTCCGTCCGTACGTCCCGAAATCTTGTGAACGCAACTCCTCTTAAACCGGATGGCAGATTTTGCTTAAACTTACAGGGATGAACAACCTTAATGTGTAGATGGTAGTAAAGGAAGGAATTTTCGCTGCGACTAAATTTAACAGAATTATGGCCCTTTGTTGATTTTTTCACTAGATACTATGTAGAAATTTTGTGAACGCAACTCCTCTTAAACCGGATGGCAGATTTTGCTTAAACTTACAGAGATGAACAACCTTAATGTGTAGATGGTAGTAAAGAAAGGAATTTTTGCTGCAACCAAATTTTACAGAATTATGGCCCTTTGTTGATTTTTTCACTATATACTATGTAGAAATTTTGTGAACGCAACTCCTCTTAAACCGGATGGCAGATTTTGCTTAAACTTACAGGGATGAACAACCTTCAGGTGTAGATGGTAGTAAAGGAAGGAATTTTCGCTGCGACTAAATTTTACAGAATTATGGCCCTTTGTTGATTTTTTCACTATATACTATGTAGAAATTTTGTGAATGCAACTCCTCTTAAACCGGATGGCAGATTTTGCTTAAACTTCCAGGGATGAACAACCTTAATGTGTAGATGGTAGTAAAGAAAGGAATTTTTGCTGCAACCAAATTTAACAGAATTATGGCCCTTTGTTGATTTTTTCATTATATACTATGTAGAAATTTTGTGAACGCAACTCCTCTTAAACCGGATGGCAGATTTTGCTTAAACTTCCAGGGATTAACAACCTTAATGTGTAGATGGTAGTAAAGGAAGGAATTTTTGCTGCGACCAAATTTAACAGAATTATGGCCCTTTGTCGATTTTTAGTTTTCAACTTGTGGCACATGTAGTCCAAAAAATATTTGACCTAGAGTCATAAGATTGACAGAACAGTGGCGTGTGGGGGCATCCGTGTCCTATGGACACATTTCTAGTCTTTGATAAAGACTTCAGTCTACTGCTAAAATTTGAGCAAATTGAAAAATAGAAGAATAAAACAACAACAAAACTTTCTTTCAGTGTGACCAAGTTCATTTTTTACAATTTACACCATTTATTTGGTAAATGTGCTGTAATGATCAGTTTTTAAAATGTAAATTCTCATATATTTTACTCAAACATGGCATAATTTTGAAATGTTTCAGGAGTTATGCCCTATTTTAATTTTTCAGTTGTTAGACAAGGGGCATTCTCCTGAAAGCAGTATTTTTAGGAGTTATGTCCTTTTTAAACTTGAAAGTTTGTTATTAACAGAGAAGTGTTAAACACTGCATGCGGATTCCCTTGTTGTTTTGAGATATTTGTTATTTTAATTTGAGTTATATGTAATTTTGACAAGGGGCAATCTTCTGAAAACAATATTTTTAGGAGTTACGCCCCTTTTTAACTTAGAATATTTATGTAAATTTGTTATTAAGACACTACATGCAAATGCTCTTATTATTTTGAGGTATATGTTATTTTAATATGTAATTTTGATGTAAATTTCATGACAGAGTGGCCTCATATGCAGAACAAAATCAGATGAATGCAAGCAATCTTGGAATTGTATTTGGACCAACATTACTGAGACCACAGTAAGTACTACCCATAGAATGGATCATATAACATGACATGTTTTAATCAATGTATACATATATATAAATGAACCAAAATTGATTGTTATGAAAACAAAAAAGAACAAAATAATGCAGTCACATGTATTAAAGTAAACATGGCTTGATTCTTATTATGTTAACAATTAATGAAAGTGTTGAGTGGTTACTAAATTAAGTCGTATTCAAGGCCTCAGTATTAAATGTTTGAAATTTTTCATATTTCTACAAACACTGTGTACAAAGCCACATTTTAAAAGTTAAAGGTATTAGTTTCTTGTGTCTCCAACTTCTTTTTAAAGGTTTGTATAATGGCAAGAATTAAACTTGAAAAGGTCATCACTAAATTGGCAAAGGTCAGCATTTTTGAAGGAAAATTTTTGAGACAGATTAATATTAAATTATTTCTCAGTGTGTGGCATGAACAAGCCTTATACATTACAGCTTTACTATTTACAAAACAGCAGGCTATCCTACCCTGCTATTCTACTTGAATCACTTTGTTAAATTTGATGGGAACTTCAGATCCCATGAGCCACAGAAGGTATTCATTTGAAACTTCATTCATGTCACAGTCATGTCTTTGTTTTGATTGAAATTCCAGAAAATAATGTAGTTTCTTTTTTGGTCTTATATTTCCACCTACAGTAAAAACCCGCTTTACGACCACCCAGTTTTCAAGACCAACCCGCTAATACGAACGATTTTTTAAAGACCCGATTTTTTTATTTTTTATTTAAATGGTCGACAACCCCGATTTTGAGACAACCCCGTTATTCCGTAATACGACCAGTAAATTCAGTCCCACTTCGTAAATTATGTACATTTGGAAACCCATAAATACGACCGCGGGCACTTTCTCACCTTGATATTGACATGCATGTATATTGCTGAAATCTTTTTGACACATGGTGTAAACAACAGTTGTCCTAGTTTTACGACATTTAACGACATCCAATTTACGATTGAGGTCAAGGTCACTCTGTATCAAACCCGGAAATGATCAATAATATTGCCGATAATTTCTTAATTTCACACCTTTAATGTCATAACTTGAGGATAAAAACAACAAACTATTGAACCGAAAACTTTCAATAAGTTTTTAGAGGTGTTGCTGCTATCATTATCTCTTTCGTTCCATAATTTTAAACAAACATAAACTTGATATGATTATTTTTTTGAAGTTGTTATCGGCGATGAAAACGGTGAAAATAATGAAATGTTACTTGTTTGGTGTGTTTTGTAGTGAAATGGTGATTTAACTGAGTAAGTCATGTCATTCTTTTAAAAAGAATGTAAAAATATGTTTGTGTTTAAAGACATTCATAATACATTTTGTATCTCTAAAGAAGTTTAAAAGTTTTATAATGTAAAAAAATAAAAGAAAATAAGTGAAAATAAAAGCGTATGCTTTATATCTTCTCATTTGAAATAGGTTAGCCCAGAATTAAACATGTGTACAGTGCATGGTACCCCTTCATATATTTCCTGGTTTTCTGTTTGCTCAAACACATTTATGAGACCAACCCGTTATTAAACCAGATTTGTAAAGACCCTTCATTGGTCTCATTAGCGAGTTTTTACTGTATCCTGTTTTAGATGTGTTTTAGTAAAAATTTGGCAGAAAAGTTAAATGTGACCAATTCAAATTTTCAGGGGAGGTAATGCATCATTGGCGTGTTTAGTGGACACTCCTCATCAGACCAGAGTTGTTGAACTTTTAATAGTTCATGCAGAAAGTTTGTTTGGGCCAAGAGAAGACCATCAGCTTATTCACGGGGAGACTCTTGTAGAACCTATGGAGAAAAGAAACATCCTTCAAGTACCACAGCCTGCCACCATAGGTATTGTTTTACCATCTTGTTTGCTGTCTATTTCAGACATTAGATTATTGTTAAATATAACAATTGATGTAAATTTAATGACACATGAGCAAAAAGATTTTCCAAAAATTAAATAAGATTAAACTGAATTTGGAGTTTAAAACACAGACATTACACTCATTTGATCTTGTGGATAATGGAAAGTTTTTTGTAAAATTACCAAATTACTATCCAGCACCCTTGTACTTCATATAATCTATTCAAGGTATATAACTCCAGTGGCATATTTCCAGACACAGTTGACATTCAAACTTTAGAATTTACCCCAAACTAGCTACATTGACATGTTGTTTACACCCATAGCTTCCAATATCTTCATGAGTAAACAGCCATATTGTTAGGGTTAAGTTGGCATATCTTTACATGTTTTGGGAAAATTGTTAGACTAGATAAAATCACTAAATGTCTGTTTAACTGTAGAATTGATGATGTTTCTTGTATTTAAAACAGTTTCTAAATTTATATAACAACTTATATCTAGCTGGTGGGCTGATTTAATTTCAATTATTCCTCTCAGTCTCCTTAACAAATTTGTATAATTCACTTGGTTATGCTTTGAGTGAAGAATTGTCCATTTTTGATAATAACTTTGAAGTTAAAGAGGCGTGCCATTTTTCCTTACTTGAAAAATTTCAATATGTTTATTGCTGTGTTTTTTAGAGTTGTCACAATCAGACACTGCCATGAGATCTGAACCAAAGAAAGAAACCTTGCCAAGGTAATGTTTTAAGTTACATGTAGAGTATATTTCTTAAGTCTTATTGCGAAAGAGTTGTTTTTCTTTCTATTTTATGTATGTGTTTGTAATAGATTTTTATTAGACATTCACATTAGAGGTTCTAGTGAACACATGTTTTAATGGTAAATATAAAAACATGTAAGCAATTATTTGTCTTGTGGTTACACTGTCTGATAACAAATCCAGATACAAAATCCTCGTACTTGTGTAAAAAAAACAATTAAGTTCCTAAAATGTTTCTTTAAAAACCGAGACCCTGATAAATAGAGCTTTATGCCTTGCACATATTGAAATAAAAGCTTTCCTATCTTCTGGTATGGAATAATTTCTGTATCCATTGCACTATGCTCCAAAAAAAAATAAATAAATAAAAATAGACAAATAAAAAAAATTACTATCAGTTTTCTTGAATGCGTCGGCCATGTTGATTTCCATTGAAGACTAAAATTAAACATTTATCACACATAAATATAACAGGTTGATAGAAAACTTGTATGTTAACATGTCTAATTTCAGTGCTACAATTTCACTATCGCCACGGGAACAGCTGATACCTCCACGATCACCTGCAGCTTTACGTGACGTGTCTCCAACAAAGGTGGGTAACTGTTAACAAAGCTGATCAAGGCAGATAAATCTTATAACATATTTAGCCTAGAAATGTTTTTCTTTCTGAAAATTTTAGAAAATGAAAATATATTTGATTTTATTATAACTATACCATAATACTTTTAGTTTTGCGTATCTTATTTTATTTTGTTTAACCTATATTGCAATCATTAGATTATCTTTCCTTTAAGCTGACTGTTACTTAACATAGTATAGCTTCATTTTTGTAGAAATAAGATGTTTTTGTATTCTTTTTTATTACATTCTTTTTTTTTGTTTCTCTTAGCTATGGCTTCAAAATAGATAAATATTATAAATGAAATGTGTGTTTTGGTAGAGCTTTGTGCTTAAAGGAGCTTTATAGAGCTGATACAATGTGGTTTAATGTGTACAAAAAACAAGGCAGCATTTAAGATATTGATTGTTTTAGAATGGTTAACTGTCGTAAAGCTAGCTGTGTTAACATCAAATGTTATATCAAAGTCTTTGCCAGGAAGCATTTCATTTTACCCAGTAGTGGAGATACCCCACCCACCTGTTTATGAAGCAGTTTTGTGGGGAGATATCCATACCTCAATGTTTGCAGCAATTTAATGGAGATATCTCGTGTACATTTATATTTGTAGGGCAGCTTGAGCAATATATTCAATTATATATATGTCCCATTAATGTATCGATATATCCTAGTGATGTATATAGCAATTTTAGGAAGAGTTCCGACTTGTTTATATACCAATAATATTAAAATATTCAACATGTGTATGTATCAATTTTTCTTTTAGAAATACAACTTGTATAGTTGTATAGATAACCAATTTACTGAAATGATTGATATATGTTAGATTTATAAAGTAAGTTGAATGATGAAGAAATACAATGGCCTACTTTATACACTTACTTAAAGCCAAAAATGACATGACATTTACAATATTGAAATTAACACCTAAAATTCTGGCATTTTCATTGCAATTTTATGTGATATCGTGATTTCTTGAATTTCTATTGAATTTATCAAATTCAGTTTTATAAGTGTTTTATATGTTAAAGTTATTTATCTGTTTCAGAACTTTTATTGTATTTTTTATTCCATTCTCCTCTATATAGTTTGGTTAATATTTAACAAGAAGAGATGAATTTTCAGGGTGTCTCAATGTTATAATCTAATATGTAATATGAGAAGTGATTGTTTTTCAGGTTATTTTGATTAGTAATTAATCATTGTAGTCTTTCCAATAATATAAACACTGCGACACGTGATTTTTACAGATTTTTTTTCAGGTTCCATTTAAATAAAACTTGAATTTCTATCATTTCACTAGGCACTATTACTGTAATTTCAAAATAGATGCAATAGAGGTTTTGTCATCTGAGAAAAAACAGCATTCTTTTATGCTTTATGGATGCTTCCTTTTCCCAGACATAATTTTATAGCAGTACATGGAGGCTTGATTAGTCTTTTTCTTTTAATATCCTCATTCAATATTTGCTGAACTTGATTTCACAGAAACAAGGAGAAGAAATAATCTTACCTGGCTCGACCAATTTTGATAAGAAAGATTCTTCAAGTAGTCGAGCGAACTCTGACGGTAAATAAAAGCACTTGTGCATATTGGGAATGGCTCATGTATACAATCTAACCCAAAGTCTTCTTTCAGCATTGTGATCTTAACATAAAACATGGCTGGAGTGGTGTTTACCATAATCCCCATCATCTTCAACTTTAAACTGTATCTTTTTATTAACCTTCTGCATTATCTTTTATCTAACATCTCTTTAAACTATTGTAGTAACTTTTACCTGTATCAGTATCTTTCTCTTATTCTGATATTGTTGAATTGTTCTGGTATCTTTTATTTGTCCCAATATCTTTATATGATCTTGTATTTTTTAAACTGTTCTAGTATCTTTAGACTGTTCTGGTATCTTTAAATTGTTCAGTATCTTTAAACTATGATAGTATATTTTATCTGTTCCTGAGTCAGCTATGATAGTATATTTTATCTGTTCCTAAGTCTTTAAACTTTTTGGTATTGTTTATCTGTTGCATTTCTAAAAACTGTTTGGTATCGTTTGTCTGTTGCAGTTTCTTGATACTGTTTGGTATCATTTATCTGTTGCAGTTTCTTGAAACTGTTTGGTATCATTTATCTGTTGCAGTTTCTTGAAACAGTTTAGGTATCGTATCATTTATCTGTTCAAGATTCTTGAAACTGTTTGGTATTGTTTATCTGTTGCAGTTTCTTGAAACTGTTTGGTATCATTTATCTGTTCAAGATTCTTGAAACTGTTTGGTATTGTTTATCTGTTGCAGTTTCTTGATACTGTTTGGTATCATTTGTCTGTTCCAGATTCTTGAAACTGTTTGGTATCGTTTGTCTGTTGCAGTTTCATGAAACTGTTTGGTATCGTTTATCTGTTGCAGTTTCTTGATACTGTTTGGTATTGTTTGTCTGTTGCAGTTTCTTGAAACTGTTTGGCATCATTTATCTGTTCAAGATTCTTGAAACTGTTTGGTATTGTTTATCTGTTGCAGTTTCTTGAAACTGTTTGGCATCATTTATCTGTTACAGATTCTTGAAACTGTTTGGTATTGTTTATCTGTTGCAGTTTCTTGAAATAGTTAGGTATCATTTGTCTGTTCCAGATTCTTGAAACTGTTTGGTATTGTTTATCTGTTGCAGTTTCATGAAACTGTTTGGTATCGTTCGGTTGCAGTTTCATGAAACTGTTTGGTATTGTTTGTCTGTTGAAGTTTCATGAAACCGTTTGGTATCGTTCTGTTGCAGTTTCATGAAACTGTTTGGTATTGTTTATCTGTTGCAGTTTCTTGATACATTTTAGTATCGTTCTGTTGCAGTTTCTTGATACATTTTAGTATTGTTCTGTTGCAGTTTCTTGATACTGTTGCAGTTTTGTTTATCTGTTTCTGTTAGTGTATCTTCTCACTTTTCTCATATCTCCAAACTCTTCTGGTATCTGTGGTATCTAAAAACTTCTGTTATCTTCAAACTCTTCTAGTCTCTGATAACACTTATAGCATCATTTTCAGACTCTTCTGGTATCTTCAGAATGCACTTGTATCCTCAAACTCTCTTGGTATCTTCAATGTTTTGGTATCTTGCAACTGTAACTGTCACGGGTTGTTATTAAATGATGTTTACATGGGTACACGTTTTCAGACACTTGTGTGATTTTTCTCTACTTCCAAAAGCTCTCTTTTTCTGTATAAAACCAATTGAAATAATGATAAATTCATGGTTTTCAGGTTTTCTGATATTTTTAACTTGCACCTATGTGTTTAAGTTTGATAGATGGGAGAGATTGCAATATTGATGTCTGTGCATGTCCACATGTATAGAATGCGATGATTGAATGACTATTTACATATATCAAAGCATTATCTAATCTGTACCTACAAACTGATTAATTCTTATATTATATGCTTGAACTTTTAACATGTTCCAGGTCTGTTTTAAGAACAGCATTTTATATCTACAATCATCGAAATATTATCTACTAAGGTCTTGTTACATTTGCAGCCTCTCAATAAATTGTCTTCTTCTTACTCTTAATTTCTTGTATAACACAAAACTTACATGTATTCAAACTTTCTCTTTATAGGCTTAACTAATAATACATGTAGATATCAAGTAAAGTGTCTTGCTCAAGGAAACAACAGCTTGTCTCTGATGGGGTTTGAACTCTCACAGCAATGATGAGTGTTGTTGTAAAAAATGTTAAAAGAAGAGCAATTTAATATTCAAGATTTATACATTTTTTGTAGCACTCCTATTGAATAAAGTTGTTTATATGGAAGCTTTTGAGACCTGTTTAATTAATGTTAAAAATATAAAGTCATATTTTCTGTGATACTTTGAAAGGGCCATCATTTTAATGAAAATGAAATTGTCTGCCTATCTTTTTTTCACACAAGGTTTTCTGTTTTACACACTGGGTTTCACAGCAAAGGCTAATTTTCTAAAATGATTTCAGTAGTAATTTGATTGATAAACTGGTTTTATTTAAGATATTAAATTTGTTGTACTTAATTGTGCTTTAAGTGATATTGTTTTGTTTAATCATATAGATATATTGTTGCAGCAGTGAATTTGAAGTTAAATTGTTAAATTAATTTAAGACATATATAAGGATGTCTATTTTCAAGAATAATGAAATGTTGTTTGTTTTGGTGTTTTTTTGGAATTAGAATGCAACAATTAGGGAAATTTGTAAATATAAAAGTAGTTATTTTTTTTTTTTCAAAATATGAATTAAGTAAACAGATTTCAGTAGATCTAATCACATTAATCTTGATTTTACTGCTAGATTTGTTAAAAAGAGGCTATAGCTTTGAAAGTACCAATTCTGGAATGGATTGGGAGGGTAAGATCACAACCTAATATATATGTGTGAGACTATGTCACACTCTAATGTCTATGTTTTATTTGGTTACTCTGTTGTGTCACACTCTAATGTCTATGTTTAATTTGGTTATTTTATTGTGTCACACTCTAATGTCTATGTTTAATTTGGTTATTCGGTTGTGTCACACTCTAATGTCTATGTTTAATTTGGTTATTTGATTGTGTCACACTCTAATGTCTATGTTTAATTTGGTTTATTAGGTTGTGTCACACTCTAATGTCTATGTTTAATTTGGTTATTTGATTGTGTCACACTATAATGTCTATGTTTAATTTGGTTATTCGGTTGTGTCACACTCTTATGTCTATGTTTAACCGCCTCCGTGGTCGAGGGGTTAGAGTGGATGACTTCTTATCCAGTAACCTCTCTGGCACGGGTTCGATCCCCGGGAGATGCTTTGGTAGTTTAGCACGGAGGAAGGTAGTCTAGTACTGGTGTAACTCTCCAGGAACGATGGTTAGGAAACTACTTGCTATATGACTGAAAAACTGTTGGGGAAAAAGTGTAAAACAAAATAAACAAACAAACAAATAATGTCTATGTTTAATTTGGTTATTCGGTTGTGTCACACCCTAATGCCTATGTTTAATTTGGTTATCCAGTTGTGTCACACTCTAAGACTCTTCCTGGTTGTGAGGGTTATGACACACTATTACTGTGTTACAATTTAATTTTAATGATAAAGTGGTTTGTGCCACACTTTGATTTTTGTTTTAAATTTTTTATGGCTTTTGCCACAAGTGGTTTGTGCCATACTTAACTTAAATGTTTAAGTGATTTGTGTTACACTTATTTTTTTCAAATTTTAATGTCTAAGTGGTTTGTGTCACACTTTGAATGTTTGTTTTAAATTTTTATGTGGTTTGTGCCACATTTGAACTTTAAAATTTAAGTGGTTTTTGTCACACTGATTTAAATGTTTGATTTAAATGTATAAGTGATATGTGCCACACTAAAAAATTGTTAATGATGAAGTGGTTTGTGGTACACTAAAACTTTAATGTTTAAGTGGTTTGTGTCACACTTGATTTAAATGGCTTTTATCACACTTAATTTTTAATGTTTGAATAATTTTTGTCACATATTAATGTGGGTAGCATATTTCAGTGGGTCTTGTCATAAACTCCCATACTCTAATGTTATGTGCTTTAAGTATTTTTTGTCACGTTTAAGTAGTTTATGTCACTGTTGATTTCACTGTTCAGGTGATTTTGCCAAATTTTACTGTTGGTCAGTTAGTTTTGTGATACACTTTTATTATTTTTTAAATGGGTGTGTTAAAAAAAAAAGTTATGTTTCAGTGGAAATTTTCGAACACTTAATTACCAAACTAAATTTGTGCAGTCTGAACAGGCATTATTGTCTTACCAAGTTATATTTTGTTGGCAACTTAATGTCCTTGCAGAAATTGCCTATACTTTTACTTGGTTGATCCAATTTTAGAACCAAGGCAGTATTTTACATAACATTTAAAGAATAACAAGCAGAAAAATATATACTAATCTCTTTAGATGTCTAACTTCTAACTTCTTTAATTTTTTTTAGCTCACCTGAGCTTGCTCAGGGTGAGCTTTTAGGATCGATGAATGTCCGTCGTCCGTCGTCCGTCGTCCGTCGTCCGTCCGGCCGTCCACAATTGCTTGTGAACACTCTAGCGGTCGCATTTTTGCCTCAATCATCATCAAACTTGGTCAGGATGCTTATCTAGTTGAAAGCTCGGATGAGTTCGAATATGGGTCATCTCAGATGAAAAACTAGGTCACAAGAGCTAAAAATAGAAAAACCTTGTGAACACTCTAGAGGTCACATTTTTGACCCAATCATCATCAAACTTGGTCAGGATGTTTGTCTAGGTGATAGCTCGGATGAGTTCGAACATGGTCATCTCGGATGAAAAAGTAGGTCACAGGAGCTATAAATAGAAAAAACCTTGTGAACACTCTAGTGGTCACATTTTTGAACCAATCATCATCAAACTTGGTCAGAATGCTTGTCTAGTCAATTGCTTGGATGAGTTCGAACATGGGTCATCTCTGATGAAAAAACTAGGTCACAGGAGCTAAAAATAGAAAAACCTTGTGACCACTCTAGTGGTCACATTTTTGACCCAATCATCATCAAACTTTGTCAGGATGCTTGTTTAGATAATAGCTCGGATGAG